AAGCGACGCGCCCCGAAGTCGGCAAGGAGCGCAAACTTTGGCTCCCGGGGCTGCCCTCCCCTCGAGGCTTCTCCGGAAGTTGAAAGTAGGGACCGGGGTCGGCGAGAAACTTAAGAGACGAATTGGTTGTCGCCGTCGTCCCCCCTCCCCCCGCTTGGCTCTAAGAAATTCAGCCTCCCGTAACTTCACATTAGCAGAGCGCTGTATCCGAGACGGGAGTGTGTAAGGGAGGTGAAACCCAGGGGGATCTGAAAGAGCAAGATAAACTGCTCTCCTGGGGCCCTGTGTTTTGAGAGTTGTGGAGTTAGGACGAAATTCAGCCTGTCCACTTCTCAAATTTCCGACCGAGGGACGTGCCTTTTGTTAAACTCTAGGGCTTGTTAGGGCTGATACAGATTGGCACAGGCCGTGACAACGCAAATGAGACAGAGAAGATAAATTTGAAGTAATGAGGTGAAAAGGCACGAGGTGTTTAAGTTGATTATTATGTACTTAATTTAGGTAAGAAGTAACTGCGATACTCAACTGAAGGATTGCTGAAGCGTAATGACTCGACATTGGCCTTTTTCTGGTGCTAATATTGTTCTAGTCCCTTTTAGCATTTAAGGAGATGTAATATGAATAAAACTGTGCATGTAATATCCGATTTATTGTTAGAGTCAGAAAGATGCTAGGGTAAAGTTCAAATATTTTTAAATGAGCAAAGTAAATTTCAAAACAAGTCTGGGAATTTCTATCACAGTTAAAGAGATAAAGCAAAATTATTTTGTCTTCCACTTACTTGACAATTTCTTCCCAGGATTGTAATGTGTGGGTTTTACATTTTGTTTTTAAGAGGAGCCTGGAAATACCAAGTTAATTGCCTTTGTGTAATTGAAATACCCGAGGAGGACTTAACTTGTATTTTCTGGAAATTATGGGATGAGCTGCAGTGTGGGAAATAGCATTCCCCATGCTACACCCATCATCGGGCAGACAAGATTGTGGATAGCAGGTCTTAAGACAAGGGTACTTTGTGATTGTCCGAATCCACCAGACTTGCCCCTGCTTCCAGTAAATGTAACTGTTAGGATGCAGTGATTCTGCGCATCTTTTGTTCAGACATGATGAAAGCAAAGGAGACTGCTGCGGGCATCTAGTTTCTGGAGAAGAAATAAAGTTAACCCTATTCTATAAGTCCACTTCTTTGTCCAGACTCAGAATTATATTTGGCCATCTGAGTTCTTGTTTCTGAACTGTTTGGTTTAGAGCAGTGGTTCTCAACCTTCCCTAATGCTTCGGCCCTTTAACTCTTTGTGTTGTGCTCTAACCATTAAAATTATTTTCGTTGCTACTTCATAACTGTATTTTTGCTACTGTTATGAATCTGACATGCAGATGGTCTTAGGTTGCACCCCTCTCCCAGGGGTTGAGAACCATGGGGTTTAGAGTGTTGACTCATACCTTGCTGACTTGTTAAATTATACATCTCTATACATGGATGGATGATGTCTCTCTGTCTCTCTCTGTCTCTCTGTCTCTCTCTGTCTCTCTCTCTGTCTCTCTCTCTCTCTCTCTCTCTCTCTCTCTCTCTCTCACACACACACACACACACACACACGCACACGCACGAGAATGTGGCCCCTTAAGATAACTGTGAATCACTGATGAACACTGACTCTGGGAAATTAACTTGATTTCAGAATGGCACCATCAGCATTAGATTTTCAAAAATGTACTCTTTATTACTTAAAACTTATTTTTCTCTGGCATTTGGAGGCAGCAATTTCTCTGTGTTGGTGTTATAATAGTGTTTCTCTTGATGTTTTGTCTTGAGAATTCCTGAATGTCTGGGTATCTTTTAGTCTTGGCTGATAATCACTTCCCAGTACTCAGTTTGACCACTAGCCTGTTTTCCAAAAGTTTACTTACCGTTTCATAGTTGATGATTGGAATTTTTAATCTGTTTTGCTTTTGAGACAGGGTCTCACTATGTCACCATGGCTGTCACAGAATTCTCTGTAGACCAAGCTTGCCTCGAACTCACAGAGATCTGCCCATTTTCCTCCTGGGTGCTGGGATTAAAGGCATGCAACAGTATGCCAGGCTTAAATAATTTTAAATATTTTTTTTATATTTGTGTGTGCATGTGCGTGAACACACACGCTTGCCACAGCACACAAGTGGAGGTCAGAAGACAGCATTGAAGAGTCAGTTTTCTCCTTCCATTTTGTGGGTTTAAGGCATTGAACTCAGGTCATCAACATTTATTCCCTGTACCATCTTGCTGGCCTATTGTTGAAATTTCTTAATAAATCAGCTTATAAACATTTCATTTCATGGAATTATTAGTTACTAAAACTAAATCTAACGCTTACTGTCCAAAAAAGATGTGGAACAAACTAAATGAAATATCAGTTCATTGACTTCATAATATCCCCCCAGAAACCTGTGAGAACCGCAACAGCTGTGTTTCCTGTGTGGATGTCACCATTAATAATACTACCTGCTTTTGGATTGAATGCAAAGAAGGTAAGAAACTTTGGAGTTACATGCCCTACTGTATATTCTTGAATATTTGAAAATCCTGTAGAATATTTAAGATGGTGTGCAGTGTTTATTTTCCAATACTTCCATAAAAGTACTAGTTGCTAAAGGAGAGATTTTAGATCTTCAGAGGGATTAAAGTGTGCTAGAATTAAGGTTGTGTCATTTTACTTTGGAAGTGGAGTGATTTGTCTTGGGAGGTGAACTGTAGAGACCTCGTGGAACATTGTTGACTGCTTCAATATGGAAGAGTCATAAGAAGGGAGAGTTGGTACTCGTGCTTTTATGAAGTTAAAGCTCGTTAACTTAGCAAACATTGGAAAGCTGTGAGCTAGATGGAAGCCTGTTGAAATGTAATATTTTTATTAGAATTATAATATTACAATGTGGATTACTCTGTTTTCTTAAGGTAAGGTGCTTGGAGCTTTCCATATCAGCAAAACAATCTGTTAAAGAACTTTCTCTTTTTTATTTGTTAGGATTTTTTTCGCATCCCTGGAGATACAGAAGCCGTAGTTTTGTTTTTTCAGTATAAATGGAGTTATGTGTTAAGCTCCTTTATCCAGTGAGTGTTAGTTCTATAAGTAGCATGTGAAATGAAGAGCACTCTAAACTATTGGGAGCTAACTGTGTGTAGTGCAGATATGTTAAGCTGTAAAGTGAAATTTGGTACTTAACTTTATAGTTAAGCTGTAAATTTATAAGGTGGATCCTCTCCCCCTCCCCCTGTGATCAATACATAGGAATTGTTGAGGTTTGGGGATTACATCCTGTTTTAAGACTCCAAGTCTGCCTATCCAGGGAAACTGTTTAGAAGTTGTGTACAACTAGAGGGTCTGCAGAAGGAACAGGACCCTCTCCTCACTATGTTGAAAGAACATGACCACATCTCCTTATCAATCCCTGGTCTCTTGCTGGTTATCTGTTCAGTATACTCAAGTGCCTTTTAGATTTGTCTCTGAGACAATGGGGAAGGATTAGCAGTTTTTATTGCTCCAAACCTTGAGAGCCTTCTTCCTGAGACCTGGGGTCAGTCACAGGAGTACCAACCACATTTGGCTTGGTTTTGTTTTGTTTTGTAGTAGTAGTGTCCTAGAGCTTAGTAGCAAAGCCAGAGGTATAATGTAAGTTCATAATTACTCTGTCTCTCTCTTTCATAGCTAATCAGACGTATTGTTCAAGTGATTCCTTGAGCAACTGTACTGTGGTGAACAGGACTAACTCCTGTTCTGGTAAGTTTTCACTTCAGCAGCTAGTAATGTGACCACATGGGTGGGTAGTAAGGTCACTGTCACACTCTGACCATGCTAATGTTTAGACATCATTAGCCTGTTCCTGTTGATTAGAAGGATACTAATCTAGTTTAAATCTTGGTTTCATGATTCAGCTATAAGTCTTTCATTTCCTACACTAATATTTAGCTCCTCCCTTCAAGTGTTATAAGTAAATAAATTTCTGTACTCATCTTCTGTATTTGAGGAATTGGATTATTCTTTGGCTTTTACTCTTTACCCTGAAAAAAATCCTAGTTGAAACAGCTGGTCTTTCTCTCTACCCTCAGCCCTTTCTCCTTCTATCTTCATATTGCTCATTCTGAGCTTGAGCATCAATTCAAACTCCAGTTTCTCCTGCCTCTGCTTCCCAAGTACTGGAATTACAGGAATAAGCCACCATGCCCAGATAGCTAATGGTTGTTTTTCTGCTGTTACTATAAGTTAATGGGGGAAATCAAATTCCAATTTGGCATATAGATTATTGAATAAAACATTTTTGTAGAAAGTAACCATTGATGACTACTCTTGGCTGTTTAATTTTGATAGGGCTTACTCCATCCCACTGTAAACTTAACAGGTTTGACTAATATTAGGTTAACATTTTTTATTTGAATTAGAAACAAGATTGTTGTGCATGACAATCCCAGTTCCCTTCTCCCTCCCATCCTCCCCTACCACCTACCCCCCAACTAAAACCCTATCTATCACATATCCTTTCTGCTCCCACTGGATGGTGAGGCCTTCCATAGGATGTCATCAGAGTCAATATTAGGTTAGAATGGATAATACTGGCTAAATCATACAAGCAAGAGATTCAGCCTTTCTTAAAAATAGTTTAAACCTTACTGTCTAATGTTCCAGCCTTCACATTGATTTTTTTTTTTTCCTGCCCATAAGAAGGAAAAGAGAAAACATAAGGCCTGTATCCACATAGACATTTGTTAAAAGCTGTGTGTGGCTAATTAACTGTGAGAAAAGCTAAGAAATGTCTTTGGTGGAAGTGAGATGCCACTGAAAATTGATGGTTTCATTTCTAAAGAAGGGGAAACTAGTGTTGGGTGTGAGTAACTGTCTCTTCCAGGGGTCTTGTTAAACTATAAGTAGTATTCCCAGATTGGGAAACTCTTGCTATAAGCTTTAGACAACTTAAATGTGTCTCTCTTTTTCAGTAGTGCCTACTGTCACTCCAGTGCCAACCAACTCTACAGGTAATACAAGATGATTTTTTTCTTCTTCCTTGTTCTTTGAGGATTGTTAAGCCCTCTTGATAGCTTACTAGCTAAGAGATACTGATGTAGTTTTAAAGATTAGGGACGACTTATTTAGTCATGGACCATAACAGTGGTGTAAACGTGTATCCTTTGTGATGATGCATATAACTCTGGACTATATATATAACTCTGTTTTTAGTGAGTCTCAATAGGTTTACTTTGTTGGTACATTGACCCTTGGACTCCCTTCTGTGAGTGTTTTATAAATCTTAGAAAACACAGAAGCACATGAGAAATTACAATTCCCATCATTGGGCAGTATGCCAGAATGTTTTCAGAAATTAATTTCCTCAAGTCTTTTCTATGTGTATAACTTAACTACTTTTTATGGGGGGGGGGAAAGGATACTAATTAGATGTGTTTGTGTTTGTTTTTTTTCCCCCCTCTTACTATAAGCTGGTGGTATATTTCACTCATTATACCTTCGATTGGACAATTAGTTGATAAAATGAGAACTTTAAGGAACAGTGTCTATTCCAGGACAAGTACTAGGCCAGATGATGGCAGAGTATGGACAGAAAGTAGCCTATAGTTTTGTTGCTGTCAGAAAGATGGATGAATAAAGTCAGCGTTGTATATTGGGAATTTGTAGGTAGGTGTGTGTTGAAGTAGATGAAGGTAGGACAACCTGTGGGAGATAATGACATGACACTGAGAAATAAGGAGAAACATGCCAGATGAAGCAGGGTGGTTCACACATGTGGAGGAGATGTTTAGTATTTTATACTGGGAGACAATAAGCTTAGTGAACTTGACAGATCAAAAGCAAAACTGAGAAACTCTTCCATATGTCTTGCTTCTGAGATTTAGATGGTATGTAAACATGTATGTCCTCATAGGAGCAGACTTGTATTTTAATAAATGTATTACTATGGCCTATGCAGAGTAAAAGACCAAAGTAGAATCAGCTACAGTAGAAATGTTGATGCCACAGGAACCTGCAGATGCTACCAGGTTTATCTTAATGAACTGTTAGTGCACAGCTTCTGTACTTGTTAGAGACCATTGACTGAGAAAATGGTGAACCTGGGATATGGACAGACAGAAGAAATTTCCCAAATTGTTGTGGCCTTGGTTTAATCTTCTTCGATATTCTTAATGTATTTTCTACTTGCGCACTTTACACTGCGTTCATGAGCCATGAGTCCTATTTATCCATTTGTGGTTCTGAAAAGTGGAAGAATGCTAGGCTTGCCTTAGGATATTTATCAATTCACTGGAACCTTACCTCTTTCCATGGCTAGTGCATTTCTTTCCAGTGCAGTTAATTGAGTAGCCTTTTCTCAATGCAAATAGTGACCAAATTATGTAAGAGGAAGTGGGAAATGTTAATGATGCATTAATTGGAAGACAAAGGGATTAAGCATTTAGTGGAGTTTTAGGTTGTTACTAGAAGTGATGTTACTCTGGGTGTGGTGGTGTCCTTGCTGGTTACCAGTAGTTTTTTATAATTTAGGGGTTTTGTTTAATGAAAAGGACATACAGGTCAGGAGGTATAGTCACTAAAGTAATGCCTCATTTTGAAAATATTGTCAGCATACTATTTTCAGACATAAAGTTGTTAAAATGTTTTACCTATTAACAAAAAAATTAATTTTTACTATTCTTTAAGAGTGGATAGTGAGCTGGGTGTTGATGCCGCATGCTTTTGATCCCAGCACTTGGGAGGCAAAGGTAGGCGGAGCTCTGTGAGTTCGAGGCCAGCCTGTTCTACAAGAGCTAGTTCCAGGATAGACTCCAAAGCAATACAGAGAAATCCTGTCTCGAGAATCCAAAAAAAAAAAGTGGATAATGAGAATGTTTTTAACCATAATATCAAACAAAACTATTTTCTTTTCTTCCCCCCCCCTTTTTTTTTTTTGAGACAGGGTTTATGTAGCTTTGGCTCTCCTGGAACTTAATTTGTAGACCAGGCTGGCATCAAACTCACAGAGATCCACCTGCCTCTTCCTCCTGAGTGCTGGAACTAAAGGCATGTGCCATTACTACCCAGCTAAAACTAATATTTTTTTTTAAGATTTTATTTATTTTGTATATTCTTCTGCCTACATGCCAGCAAAAGTCACCAGATCTCATTTAAAGTGGTTGTGAGCCACCATGTGGTTGCTGGGAATTAAACTCAGGACCTCTGGAAGAATAGTCAGTAGTGCTCTTAACCTCTGAGCCATCTCTCCAGCCCTAAAATTAATATCTTAAGATTGAAAAGAAGTTAATACATATTTACTTTGTAAAGTTCATTTTGTCATATCCTGACTGTTGTTTGGTTACACAGGAGGTATATGTTGTGAGACTTCTTTGGACCACCAGCTCCCAAATAATGACACAGTGACTTATTATTATGAATGCTTGGCCTTAGCTTAGGCTTGTCCAAACTAGCTCTTATAAGTTAAATTAACCCGTTTATATTAATACACATTCTGCCACATGGCTTGTTATCTCTGCTTAGTGTGATGCATCCCATTTCCATGTCTGGCTGGCAAATCCCGCCTCTCTTCTTCCCAGAGTTTCTGTCTTTTCCTTAAAGTGTTACCTATCCTCTCCTGCTTAGCTATTGGTAGTTCTGCTCTTTGTTAAACCAATCAGAAGGTGCGTAGAGACACATCTTCATAGTGTACAAAAAATGGTAAGAGGTATACTTAAAACTACAAAAGGAAGTAAGTCTAGAATAATCATGCCTCCTAATGTAGGAGTTGTGTCTGTTACTTCCCTTTACGATAAGTGAGATAAAAGAGGGAGGCAAATTGTCCATAGGGTTCAGGGGTGTGTTTGTGTGTTTCCCAGTTTTATTTTTTTAATTAAAATGCAATTATTTCCCCCTTCTCTCTTCTCCCTTCAGCCCTCCCATGCCCCCTTAGCTCCCTCAAATGTCTCCCTCCCTCTCTGCCCCCCCTCATGTGTGTGTGTGTGTGTGTGTGTGTGTGTGTGTGTGTGTGTGTGTATGTGTGTATGTGTGTATGTGTGTATGTGTGTATGTGTATGCATGCATGCATCTTGCTGGGTTCATTTAGTGTTGTTTATATGTATCTGATTTCAGGATTGGCCAATTAGTATTGGATAACCAATTAGGGGATAACTAGGAAGCTTAATGCTGGGGAAAAGAGGGATGGAGTGGGCCAAATGGAGTAGATATCAGAGGACAACTTTGGAATCAGTTTTCTCCTTCCTCCCTTACCTAGGTTCAGGGGAGTGAAGTCTGGTCAGCAGGTTTGCATAGCAAAGTGTAGCTGGCTATCTTATTAGCCTCATATCAATCTTAATAGAAGTTTTACCATTCTTCTATGAGAATGAGAATACCTTAGCTTCTTAGGATTCTGTTAACTTTGGGGTGCTAACAATGTCTTTTTCGGAGTCCTGATGTGTATACCTTTACCCTAGTGACATTTGTTTTAAAGCCCAATGGTGGTGTATAATTATTGTTGAAGCACAGAACTTTATAGTAGAACTTGGGAACTGACAATATGGCTTATGAGATAAAGGCACTTGCCCCCAGGCCTGGTGACCTGAGTTTAATTTCTGAGACCCACATGGCAGAAGGAGAAAACCAACCCTTATAGGTTGACTTCTACACTTGTGCCATGTCATCTGTGCACCCATCCATATATATACAGACACGGTTTATACTGTAATTTTTAAAATTTTGTTAATTTGGGTTTCTTTTGAGACAGTATCTTACTGTATAGTACACTGGTACAAGTATTCTTTGAGACTACACTCGGTGGTGTGCACTGTTCATAGTTCCTATGGTCAAGAGCTTCATTTTCAGAGGTCATTTTATGTTTAGATGGTACTTTAGCCTCTTACAGATTGGCAGGTAGACTGTGTCATCCAAATAGGGCTGCTCTAGCCTGGGTGCTAGTGTTAATGAATGAGGTTTTATTGGAACCCAGCCATGCTTGCTCACCTACTTGACCTTGAGTGCTTTTGCATTGCAAAGTGTAATACCCAACTCTGCCCCTTTAAAGATAAGCAAAACATTGTACATACAATGTACTCAATTGTGTATTTCAGTTATATACACAATTTGTCATAGGAGCAAGAGTGTTCATAAAGAATGAACCTGTAGCTCCCCTCCCTAAATATACCTGTCCTTCTTAGTCTCTGTGCAGTCTTTGTCTAGATGTGTCTGTTTCTTGCATATATACATAGATTTTATCATAAAAATAAGTTTATACTGGTTGTCAGATTATATGTAATGCTTGTATTGGGTCATTAACTAAATTTGGCTCTGTTCTCCAAAAAATTAAAAGCATTGTTTTTTAAAACTACACATTGGATAATTGGGAAGTTAGAAATTTAAGGTTTCTAAATACATTTTGTTTTCATTCCAGCTAAACCCACAATTCGGCCTTCGTCTCCTACACCTACTTCCTCAGTTGTCACATCAGGTAATTGGGTTTTATAAATTATCAGAGTCTGTCACCAAGGTGCAGTGTAGTCTTGGATACCTATGGGCTGACTCAGCCCTGACTTCGAGAGCCAGGGCAGTGGTTAGCTCCTAACGATCTGCCAAGGGTCCTTTTCTAGTCTTGAGGTGGTCATGTTTGGCCTGGCCCTTTAGATTTAATGAGTGTTTTCTCTAAAACCTTTCTATAAGCCTTACATGTGAAATCAGATTTGGGGCTACCAGTTACTTAGAAGGTGTGATGCCATCATGGTTTTGGCGAAGGTAAGATTATTGTTTTTAGTTAGACAAATCTGAAGAGCCAAGGTTTGTACTTCTATTCTTCTTCAGTGGTATCCCTTTCTTAGACTTGCTTGGATCCGAGGGCTCTTTCCGACCTTGTGACTGCTGTGGCTTCCTACTTGTGCAGCTTTGCCATTGCAGTGAGGCCACTCTGTTTTCACACATTACAAAAATAAAAGGGTGGAGAACACTAGGAGTGAGTTCTTTTTCTTTTGAAGGTTTTAGTGCTGAGAACTTAATTCTGTGCTAGCCGAGCTCCACTCTTGGCTAATGTTAAAGTTGGTTAGCTTACCAGAGCCTGCAGTTGATGCTCTCCCCAAGAATACATTAGGATCTCATTTGACAGTGAAGTACCCTTTATTTTGATGATGTTACATAGTCATAGCCTTTTTGTTCCTCTTGAAGCATTTTATTTCCTTAATAATTATAGATTTCTTCTGACTTGCTAATACTTTTTCATAATACAGAATTGACAGAACTTATAGATTCTTAATGAGTATTTTGTTTGTAGAAATTCTAGTTTTCAAATTTGTTTTCCTTATGGCTTTGTAATGCTTTCTCATAATGCAAATTAACTAGCAGAGTACTATTATATTTCCAAATATGTGCTATTTTCTTTGTTGTAATTATAGATTGTTACTTATATTTTTATTTGTTTGATTGCTTTTTTTGTTTTGTTTTTTGAGATGGTTTCTCTCTGTAACAGTCCTAACTGTCCTGGAACTAGCTCTATAGACCAGGCTGGCCTTGAAATTCACCTGCCTCTGCCTCCCAAGTGCTGGGATTAAAGGTGTGCATCACCACTGCTCAGCCTATTAGTTACTTGAAAAATAGCAACTGAATTTTTATATTCATCATCTAGCTAGTAAAACCCGAAAGTTTTAACAAATACTTATTTTAGCAGTTAACCAAAATAGATTAACAAAATTATTGCATGTTTTAGAAGCACTTAATAAATTGTAAGGGTACAGTTTATATGCCAGAAAACTCTTACCTGTTTTCATATTTGAAAACTTCTAGCAATATTGCCAATATGCTATCCTGGACAGAGGAAAAAAAATGGGATTTTTCCTTAAATGAGGATAAATTCTAGTTATAAAGCCTTGATGTGGAAAGACCTTCTTAATGCCCGAGTGGGTCTGAAAACTATAAATACCATGACACTTACTAAGGATTCTTTGTTTGTTATCATAGCAGGTACAACCAATACCACCCTGACCCCAACCTCACAACCTGAGCGGAAGTCGACTTTCGACGCAGCCAGCTTCATTGGAGGAATTGTCCTTGTCTTGGGCGTGCAGGCTGTAATTTTCTTTCTCTATAAATTCTGCAAATCTAAAGAACGAAACTACCACACTCTGTAAACAGACCCGTTAAATGAATGCGGACTGGCAGTTAATGTGTAATTCACTGAAACCAAAATATTATCTTTCATGATGTCCCACATGGAAGTCACTGTTCCAGGACCTTTACATTTCCAAAGGATGCATACAGGATATTGTGGAGCATCGTCCTTGAAGGAAAGTCAGTTAAACCATTTTGCTCAACAGGAATATTTAAAAAATATTCTGCATGAATCCATGTGGCTGTCTTTTGTTTAAAGTGGCTGCTGCTGTGAGATTGTTTTTTTCTTTGACATGCCAAATGTAACTTTCTGTAAGTTGTGGAAAGTGGTATCCTGTGCAGGCAACCTCTGACTGGCAGTTTAAATGTGGCCATTTAAAAACCTAAAGGTTGTGTTCTTTTCCTCCTAATTCCAGGTATGACTTAGTGGCCAGAATTGAGAAGAGTGCCAAATGGGCACCAGTCAGGTAGACTGAGGGCTTGACTTCAAAAGTAGACTAAATTCACTTAGTACTAAGCTACCTTTAGAGTGTTGTGCTTGATGAGTAATAGTTTATACATTAGAAATAAGATGCCGTTCAGGGAATCACATTCCAGATTTAGAGAAAGGGAAGTTGCAAACCATTACCGTGTAACAGGTTTTGTTCATACTCATAAAGCACCGTGTTAAGAAAACAGAACAGTGCCTTAAGACAGACTGAGATGGTGGCAGGACAAAAATATGTTCATGTTGTGGAAGGTCAAGCTTGGTCTGAGAATGTAATTGTTGATGTGAGCAGCAGTGAACCTGCTTGTAGATAACATACTGTTAATATTTAATTTAAACATTGATTTCTCCAGAGCTGAGAAATAGAAGTTAAAGAATAATTCTAAGCTGAAAGGCTTCCTGTATCAAACCATCTAACATTTTTCATAGGGCTGTTGAATAGACATAAAATTGATTTGATTATCTTTCCCTCTGTACACAGAGTATCCAAATATTACTGTACCTTAAGGATTCCTACGAGGTTTCCCTGAAAAGTAACTTTTCATGAGGCAGGAAGGAAGTAGTTGTAGAATCATTTTCTAGTTGTTAAAATGAGACAATCACTTTGTTTTCTAACAGATGTGACCGGTGTAACTTAAAACCCTGAGGTTTGGGGGGAGATTGCAGTAGGTTTCTAATGATGATGCCCTGGCTGATAGGCTGTTCTCTCTCTTTTATTTTTTGGTCTTTAATCCTTTTCTTCCTCCTTGGTTTCAGTTCCCACTGAAGTGCTGTAATCATGCATACTTTTATTTCTTTAGCTTTAGGGAAAGCATAATTTGTTTAGTTTTAGAGTTCCTGCTTCCTTGTCTCTCACACATGGACTAGTCCAAGAGGCTCTAATTGGAAATGGGCTTTTGGTTTCCTGTGTCATTTAAGGTTTTGTGTTAGTTTCTTTAGAGTAGCAGAGTTTAGCACCTGGTTTCCAATGTTTTATAGTAGGAAATGACAGACGGCGTTTGGTTCATTTCATAAAGTGAAACTCCCTGTACTCTTAAAATGAAGTTTCTGTTTCTTTGTCACTTGCTGGTCCAGCTCAAGTTTGTTTTACTTGCACATTTGTGCGTACGCCTAATGTTTCAAGTGCCTTACTTGTTTAAAATCTCTGGCTTCAAAGGGTTTTTGGGAAAGATAGGTTTACCTCATAGTTTTGTTTCCATTATAATATTCTAGGTACCTCACAAAATTTATTACAGTGCTGTGGCTGTTAGTTTTAAGTAAGTGCTAAAGTTCTTTTGAAAATACACAGAATTTCCATTCCTTACAAGGTGGTAAAATTGGTATAATTGTCATTTTCCTCTATGTGATGTCTTTGCCCCATATAAATGTCAGCACATGTAGCAAGTTCTGTGAGAATGTAAATTAATTTGAAGCTCCTGTGGTTTTGAGCATTGCTCTAACATGGTAGGAAGTTAGTGACATTTTGCAAGTCTCTCCATAAGCTCTGCTACAGAATTCACAGCTGCCCTCACTCTTCCCATCTTCGTTTAGCAAGGTAGTATTTTGAACCATTAATGATTTTTGGGTTTTCCTTTTAATCCAGAAGGTATATAGAAACCTTTTCAGAGTTTTCATCTGATTTGTCCTGAAGATCTAGTTCTATCAAATACCTTATTTTACCTTTCCTGTACTTGCTGCACAAGCAGACACTGCTGTACTTAGAAATTTCTATTTGAGTTCAATAAAAACTACAAAACTAATCTGTTTGTGTACCAAACTGATTTAAAATAAATACATGTTTATTGAATTAGTCTCTTTATTGATCAAAATTGTCACATTATGGTTATAAAATTCAACACTGTTGTATTTGCCTTACTTGTCCATTTGAAGCTGGGTTGTTACTGTTTCTGTTGTTCTGTGTAAGCTAAGGGTTATGAATTAGTAGAGAACAGAACCTTAGAAATGGTAGCTGGGCAGAGGAGGGAGGGGACACACCCCAGACTCACCTTAACCAAGAGTGAATGAGAGAGTTTTTTTTTGGGGGGGGGGTCAGAGAGGATGACTTGTGGAGTCAGTTTCACCTTTGTGGTTCCAGGGACTGAGCCATCTTGCTAGCCACATCCTGCCCTGAAGAGTGCATGTGAAATGAAACTTGGCTTCTGTTTAGAGTGTCGAGTTGCATGCTGCCCTAGGAACTCTGGTTCTGTTGGAACTGGTGTAGAAGCTTCTATAGTTGATCAATTGGCATTACACTAAGGTTCTTCACTACTCCCTGAAAGTCTGATATAAAATAGATTTAGTGATTTGCCTTAGAAATGAGGCCTTCAGTTCCATGTTAGCCTTATCATTTGGTAATTACATAAAAACTTTATAGCAGGCTTAATGTCCTAAAACATTGAGATTAAATAATAAGGATGATGAAACTGGTTTTGTGTGTTTTTCCCATTACCTATGCATGTGTATTAGCACTTTTTTGTTTGTTTTGTTTTTCAAGACAAGGTTTCTCTGACTTTGGAGGCTGTCCTGGAACTAGCTCTTGTAGACCAGGCTGGTCTCGAACTCACAGAGATCCACCTGCCTCTGCCACCACCTGGCCGTGTATTAGCACTTTTAAGTTCAGTAATGTTTGAGTTTTTGTTAATGTAGCTGTTGATAAATCCAGCTTTTGTATATCTTACCTGCTAATTTGTATTTTTTTCTCAAAATACAAATGCAAAAACCATTGTCTTTATTATAGATGATTTGTAGTAAATCATTTTCTTTTTTAAGAAAGTTGAATATGGACTCCAAAGTTTGTTTTTTTTTTTTTTTTTTTTTTTTTTTTGGTCATACATACTTGTTAAATTTTGGTCCATTGTCTTCTCACTTGTAAAGGACAGCAAACACAAGTCTGTTAGCTGGTTGGTTCTGTACATGTTTTCTACTTTCTGTTGGTTTTGAGCAAATTGGTGTGGACTGTGTTACAGTTTTCCTTGTTTCTTGTGTTTGGAGATCTATTGAGCTATTTGGCTCTGTGGTTTTCATATTTGGGAGATTTCCAGCCTTTGGTGAGGGTCCATATCCTCTGCCTTGATAGAGATACTAGTTTCATACAGGTTGCTAGAGTTGATTCACAGCCCTTTGTGTTTTCTACTAGAGTAATTAAAGTTGCCCTTAATTAAGTTCAATACCATTTTCTGTGTGGTTTCCCTACATAGCGGGTTGTTTGTGTAGCTTTTCTGTGGTTTTTCTAATTAGAGTAATTTTTTAATGTCTGCATAGCATGCTAATGGGTCACTTTCTGTTGATTTTTTTCTACCCATGTATGGGTTGTGGTTTCTGGTTTTGATGCATGCTTTGTAAATTTTTATTGGATGCCAGATGTAAGTTGGGAGGTACAAGATGTTTTTATAATTGTTCTTATGAAGCACGTTAGGTTTCACTTCAGCTCTCTCTGCTCTACGGCCATGGGAACTTCAGACACTTTCCTTCATGTCCTAATTTTCATCTCTGCCTTCAACTATGCAAGTTCTGATTCCTGCCTGGGCTCCCCAGAATTAAAGACAGAAGGTTGGATCTTGTTTTGTCATTACCTAATGTATGCAAATGCCACAGCTGTCATCTTAAGGGAATGTTTATTTTGGAGCCATTTGGAGTGACCATGGCCTGGAAACACAGATTTAGGTTAGCCCAAGTTCCATGACCTAACGTTTAAAATTCAACAGTGGACACATCAGAGAGGTGGTTACAGTGAGATGGGAGAAGCTTTTCTATAGGCCCAAGGTGCTATTTGATGACATTCTTAGCTTTTGGGTTGGTGGAAGGTAGTGGTCTGGTAAGTTAATATATATCAAAAGGTTTATTATATTAGTCATGGGATCTTTCGACATGAGTGGGCTCAAAATGGCTGTTCCAGAGGATTAGAACTGACCCAAGATAGGTAATTGGCCTCAGGACCTGCAATGTTCTGGTCTCCATAGTATTCAGTCACTACAGTCACTACATATACAGAACCTTTATGGGGGTTCTCTTTACACAGAAAACCACTCATACATTTTGTTTACTTTCTTGGTTTTCTGTTAATAAATCTATTCTTTGTTTTGATGAAAGGGAAAAGTTCAAAATAGAGCCACGTGTTCTCTTATCTGACCACTCAGGGGTAGAGGCAGTGGATCAGCATTTCAAGCCAGCCTCTATCCAGTGACTTTAGTAGCCTGGAGGACAAGAGATCCTGTCTCGAAAGAAAGAGAATTATGTTTTGGCTCAGCTGTTGAGGCAATACATAAATGCAGGTGTATTAATTTTCTTACTGCTATGAACAAATAACTGACAAAGCACCTTGGAAGTTTGTTCTGGTTCGCACCTTGGGATAGTAGAGTAGGCGTGGCAGCAGGAACTGTTACCAGTAGATCAGAAAACAGAGAAGGAATACAGGAACACATTAGATTTTCCTCCTTTGGGGGAGTGGTGGGAAGGTGGCAGGTTTGAGACAGGATCTTACTTTGTAGTTCTGTCATGAAATTCAGATCTGCCTGCTTCTGCCTCTCGAGCACTGGGATTAAATGATGGTGTGAGCCACCATTTCTGGCTCATGCTCCTTTTTCAAAATACTTTTAAGTACATCTTCCCTCCTTAATTTCTTTGGAACCTCCTTAAGACTCTTGGGCAATGCCATTCTCTTAGGTAATTCTGAAGTCCAGTCATGTTAACAAAGTTAATCGTCACAACTACTTGTCAATAAAACATTATATCCCATCCTTGACCCTCATAAAACTCATGGGTATCCCAAAAAGTAAGATGAATTCAGCCCAACTTCAAATGTCCTATGGTCTTAACAGTATGACCACTTCCATTTTATAGTCTGTTCTCAGACTCAAGGCAGTCTTTGATTAGGAACCCTATAAAATCAAAACACGATACATCTAATACGCACTGGCACAGTAAACCCTGAAGTTCCAAAAGGGATGAATGGGAGGATAGCAAGGATAGACTTGACCAAAGCAAGACAAACAGCAGGGAAAGACTGCAGTTCCATGATCAGTATCCGGAGCGTCTCATAACATCTGGGCTCCAGTAGCTCTACCTCCAGTTATGGCAACTGCAATACACAAAGCCTCCTGGCCCATCTCCACTCCATCCCTGTAGCTTTCTTTGATGCATGTCTTGGCATCTTGTGCAGTGAGACTTTCTGGGGAGATGTGAACAATGGTCTTTTCACCCCAGATGGTGTACTGACTCACAATTTCTGCCATCCTAGAGCCCTGAGTGATGTGCAGACAGTTCACATATTGGAGAGCCTCCCTTCTCAACAGGCTACTGCTTGGGAGGGGGTCAGGTGATGTGTGTGAATTCTGTAAGTTTCAGGAATTCAGGCTTGAGTTATTTCCTGTTTCCTGGGAGCCTCCCTCTAGGACAGTGGTTCTCAACCTTCCCTAATGCTTCGACCCTTTAGTACAATTCCTCATGTTGTGGTGATTCCCAACCATTCAAATTATTTCCATTGCTACTTCATAACTAATTTAGCTACTGTTGTTAATTATAAATATGATACTCAGAATATCTAATATGCAACCCCTGTGAAAGGGTTATTCAACTTCCAAATGGGTCATGACACACAGGTTGAGAACTGATGCTCTAGTATAAAACAGATCAAGCTGGAACTTCTTGTGTCTTAGGGAGGCTCATTCCACTGTGGAATGTTTTAATTTAGGAAATTACTGGGTATCTCCAATATCATGGAGTCTTGTGCTACATAGCTTTAACTGTCAGCTTCACACAAACTAGTCACCTGAGAAGGGGGTCTCAATTGAGAATTGCCCAGATCAGACTGGCCCGTAGGCATATCTGTGGGAGTTTGTCTTGTCAGTTGATGTAGGCGGTCCCAGCCCACTGTGGGCAATACCATTCGCTGGACAGATGGTTCTGGGTGTGTAAGCTAGTAAGCATGAACCTGTGAGCAAGCCAGCATGCAATATTCTCCCATGGCTTATATGTCAGGTTCATGCCTTGACCTTTCTTGATGATGGGCTGTGATCTGAAAGTTGAGGTCAAATCCTCTCTTCCAAGTTGCTTTTGGTCAGTATTTTATTACAATAACAGGAAACTAAAACAGGTCTCTGTTGCAACTTAAGCTTCATCTTCACAGCTTCACACAATGGCTTCTTGGGTCTCCTTCTGGTAACCTAACCTTCACAGGCATTGACTTGCCTTAGCAGCTTCCTTGAACATGGGTGTGGGCTTTCATGTACCACATAACTTGCATTTTACTTGTCTTTAAAACCATTGCTATGTGAACAGTGCCAATACTGCACAAATTCGAGATATAATCTGACCCCTTTCTACCACAGCTGTAATGATCTCAACCTAGGTTGCTTTCTGACAGGGGACTCCTACGACAACATGCTCACATCAAGTTCTTTTCAAATGAATTTGCAGTTTAATAAAATGGGAGGAGGGTGTCTTGCTTTCAGAGCCCCATTCCTGTTGTCCCAATGCAGAACACAAGATTTCTCTTTTATAGCACTAATCTCTTGAGTAATTATAGCTATTCTCTCTGTAACAAACTTATTTGCATCTTTAAATTTGGTCATACCCCTTTCATCGACAAATTGTATATTTTTCACATTCCATTTGACAGCTGTTTTGAAATTCCCACTGCTAAACAGCTATAATGGTTTGAATGAGAATGGCTCTCATAGGCTCATATATTTGAATGTTTGGTTACCAGTAGGTTGACTGTTTAGGAAGGAGTGGGAAATGTGGCCTTGTTGAAGGTGTGTCATTGGGGTAGGCATCGAGTTTTCAATAAGCCTAAGGTCAGGCCTAGGTTTCCCTGGCCCCCTCTTATTGCTGGAGTTTCTTTGTCCCACCACCATTTCAGCCCCAAATAAGCACACAGAGACATCTATTAATTATTAAATTGTTGGCCAATGGTTAGGGCTTGTTATTGGCTAGCTCTGTCTTAATTATTAACCCATTTCTATTCATCTAAGTATTTCCATGTGGTCTTACCAAAGGAGGGTCCAGATCTATTACTCCTTCCTCTGCTACATGGTGTCTCTTTCCAGTCTCTCTCTGCCTACCTTTCCCAGAATTTTCCTCGTCTCCTAGACCCACCTATCTTCCTCCCTCTATTGACCAGAAAGTGTTTTATTCATCAACCAATAAGAGAAACATGTATACAGAAGGGCATCCCCCATCACCCTTTCTGCCTGCTGCTTGTGAATCAGATGTAAGCTCTCAGTGACTGCTCCAGCACCATACCTGCCTGTTACCATTCTCACCCCGTGAATCATGGACTCACTCTCTGAAACTGTAAGCCATCCCTTAATCAAATGCCTTCTTTTATAAGTTGCCTTGGTTATGGAGTCTCTTCACAGCAGTAGAACAAAAACTAAGACAATTACTTAGTTCATTACTTTTGAATTCAGCCTCATTTAATTATTCAGGACATGGGCAGAATACACTCTGACTCTATGCTAGAATGGTAACATGAATGACTTCTAGCTCGGTTCCCAAAAGAGTCCTCATTCCCCTCTGAAACCTCATGAGCCCAGACATTACTGTATTCATTTCCATCTATATTCTGGTGTTGAAAACTCCCATCAGAATTCACCTCTTAAGCTGTGCTGACAGCTTCTGGGCTTCTGTAGCTCAGTTCAAGACTCAGGAATCACAGTCAGGTTTCTTAAAGCAACAATCCCACTTTTGGGACCAATTTCTGTATTAGCTAAACTGTTGTTGTTGCTGTAACCAGTGTTATCAGTAATTAATGGTAAAAGCCTAGACCCTGATAGCCCCAATAAGCTGGGGTTAGCCACCTGTCTTTAAGCCAGTTGAGCAAACAATAGTAAAAAGATTTATTCAATGTGGCCCCGGTGGGAAGAGGTTTGGACCCTGAAACTTTACAATCAATAATCTTTGGGCCCCAACACACAGTGGGCTGGATTCTCCCACATTAATCAAGAATGTGCCCTCTTGATATGCCCACTGGCTAATCTAATGGAGGCAGTTCTTCAATTGCTTGTCCCTTGTTCCAGAACTCTAGCATAAGTCAACCTGACAAAAGTCTTTTCAGCACAGTGGTCCTTTGGGAGACATTTGAGATCCAACTATTGCAATGTACAACCTTATGCACGTAAATATGTTTCTTTGGTCTATTTTGATCCACTCATCTCTTTTTTTCACCCAAGATAGATTCTCTAATCTGGATTAAGACTTTACTAAAGTGGACTGGAGAGCTCAGTGGTTAAGAGCATTTCTCTTGCAGAGGACCCCGATTTTATTTGAAGCACCCCAGCCATCTATGACTCCAGTCCCAAGGAATCTGATGACCTCTTGTGATGACACTTCTGGCAACAGGCATGAATGTGGTGCTCATACATACATGCATGCAAAACATTCACATACATAAAATGTCTTTAAAAAAAGACAATAAAATAAAAGAGTTTTAGCACTTGCAGGAAAAAAATGAAAAGACTTAAGAAAGGATGATACATTTAAATAAAATAAAAAGTGCTTTGAAATTTGTTTGGATGAATCTTTATTGAAATATAGTGGTTTTTAGAAACACATTTTTTTTAAAGATTTATTTTTATTTTATGTGAATGTTTGCCTACATGTATGTATGTGTACCACATACGTGCCCAGTACCCACAGATGCCAGAAGAGGGCATCAGATCCCCTGGAACTAGGGTTACAGATAATAGTTAGCTGCCAAATGGGAGCTGGAACTAAAGGGAGGGTCCTAAGAGCAGCCAGCACTATTAACCAATGACCAGCCCCAGGCCAGGGTCTTCACTTCTTAGCAAGGATGGCTCATCATCAAGGCCTTCTGTCTGAGATCACTCTGCCTACTTTGTTACTCAGTACTCAAACTGAGACTGCTGGGCAGCCAGGAGCCAGAGAGAGCTTGTAGAATGCAAACCAGTGTTTGAATGTTTTCAAATCTGGAACCAAATGTGGCTTCATCTGGACACTCGATGAATTCATCTCAGTTCTTCAATACTGTCTGCCACATGCTGAGAAGAAAAGCTGAATGAAAAGTATAATAGAACTGGAGTCATCTTTATCCATCTGAATGCACACAGAAATAAAACAGACACACAAAAAAGATTACCTATCATGCCTGAAGGAAATCCTGGATGGAGCTGTTTGGACTTGGGAAGTTGTAAGTTGAACATTTTCTGCCACATTGGGTAGAAAGCCATCATCAATCCTTCTTTTGTTCTTAATTGGTACCTGCAATGTCAAGTTAATAAGGGTATATTTTAAAGGTAGGTGGCAAAGGATTTATTTTTTTTTTTTTTTTGAGACAGGGTTTCTCTGTGCAGTTCTGGCTGTCCTAGAACTGACTGAATAGACCAAGCTGGCCTCAAACTCACCAAACTCAGAGATCTGCCTGCCTCTACCCCCACCCCCAGTGCTGGTGGTATTAAAGGCATGTACTACCACTGCCCTGCTGGTGAAGGATTCCTATGACATAGCAAGGGGCACTGTTGCTGTGGAGACCAACATCACTGGTTCTGTCTGGAGGTGGCCTTTGGTGGGCCTTCTTGTCATAAGAGAACTAGTCAAGAATGAATGCATCTGTGGAAAGGCATTCCAGGTAAGGAAGAAAAGACTTGCCAGCAGAAAACAACCTAAACACTCTAGTGTTCTATCATTTGTGGCAACACTGTACTGTTTTTTTTTAGAAAATCATTTGTGTATATATCACAGTCATGTACATTACTGTCTGTCAACATTTTTCTGTCTTATCTCCCACTCCTCACTTAGAAAGTCACACCATAGATAGGCTTGGAGGGGCTCAAGCTCATGCGGTCTGTTGCCTGGACTTCATATTTTTTGCTTGGGGATTCCTGTTGTACCCATGCTCATGGAACCACAAAATACTTCATGATAGGGTTTATTCAGTGGTTTATTTTAGAATCTTAGTAGGGTTTATTTGGAAATAACCAACAAACAATTATCGCTAACCCATTAACCTAGTCCATTAGCCTGCCAGGTTTCTCATACACAGTGGGTCTCCATTGATGCATTTAGCTACTTAGCCTCTTCAACCACAAGGGTTATGACCAGCAACACCCCCAAAGTACTCAGAGCTTTCAGAAGATGGGCTGAATCACAAGATGTCTTTCTTATTTCCTCCACACACACAGTGGTCTCTTTTGTAAAAGGCCTTTACAAAAACAAATACACTGATTTTTCTCCATGACATATTCATGGACTCAACCAACCACAGATCAAAAATATTCGAAAAAGATCAAAATTGTACTTCATGTACAGACTTTTCTCAGTCAACATTCCCTAAGTGATATAACAATTATTTACATTGTTTAAATGTAAGTAGTCAAGAGGTGATTTAAAGTGTATAGGAGATTAGGAGATGGTGTGTAGACCATATGCAAATGCTACACTATTTTGGATTTTGGTACCCACTGGGGTCCTGGAACCAACTCCTTATGAGCACTGAAGGACAATGTTACTAGAATTTCACATTTTAGGGGAAGAAGATTGCACAGACCGAGAAGTGGAGTGAGTGGTGATGATAGTGACATGGCCTTGATTTGGTAAGGCCTCATTCATTCTCATCTCCCACCCTTTCTTAACTGTATATTTTAAACTCTACAATGAGCTTCTACCCAGAACTAGACTGCCACTTGCAGAATCACACTTTTGATTAAAACAACACAACCAAAGTTTGGAGTCTGTGAGAGGGCTCAACAGGTAAAGGGGCTTGCTGCCATGCTTGATGGCCTGGGTTTAATCTCCAGAACCAATATGGTGGAAAGAGAACTGGCTCCTTCAGTTTGTCCCCTGACCTCCATCACACATGCTGTAACATGCAGGTATATGTATATGAAATATAACAAATCGAGCAATCAATAAATAAAAGATGGAGGCAGGGGGAATTCAGATAAGGGGCCTGATACTAATAATAACTGTAGTTGATTTAAAAAGAAATTCAAGGAGAATACAGCAAGGCTCTGGACTGATTTCCAGAGCCTTTGAGTGAATTGTAATACAGAAGGTGCCCAAGGGCTTATTTCAACACTAGAACTGTGTAAAACAAATCCAAACTACCTAGCTAACATCCAGATACAGAATTTTTCTAATGCAAGTTTGAAATCACCCTAGACTTGTAACACCGAGTATAAATGTCTTCATTGTTTCCTATGTATAAGCAAGCTTAGCATCACTCACAGTCTTTGGTCTTTGAGTCCGTCTTGTCATTTTATTGCTAGGAAGATTGGTCTTTGGAAAATGGTGAGAGCATCTAGATAATGCTGAAGCAGAGTTTAGGGGGCAGTGGATCTGGGATATAAGCCCTGTAAAGAAAAAGAAAAGAAAAGAAAAGAAAGTAGACCTCAGGTTGCAATGTACACACACAGATTTAACTTGTAAACTTTTAGAACTTAAACTAGCCATTTAGTTCAAGTGGTGATATCAAACTTTGGACAAAGGTGTAATGACAAATCTTTCCACCAGCAGCCAGAGCCCCATCGCCACGTGGTTGCCCAAAATAACACACAGAGATTAATATTAGGTACAATGCTGCTGGCCAATGACTAGGATTTCTTATCTGCTAGCTCAGTCTTAATTATCAACCATAATCATTAATCTATATATTTTATAAAGACTTATCTGATTGTGGACATTGGCAGCATGTGTCCTCTCGCTGGGCTCACATGGCGGCTCCACAGAAAAGGAAGGAGGAGGAAGACAGCAATTTCCTGCTTGTCCCTGCTTATATTTTGAGTCGGCTTGCTATGTCACTTCCTGCCTGGATCACAAGACTTCTTTTTACTACATTTCCCAGAATCCTCTTCAACTCCTAGTCCTGCCTAACTTGCTTCCCTATTGGCCAATAGTACTTTATTTATCAACCAATAAGATAAACATATACACAGAAGGACCTCCCCCTTCAGAAAGGTTTTTGGTTTTTTGTTTGTTTGTGTTTGTTTTTGTTTTTTGTTTGTTTGTTTGCCCGTGGTTGACAGAACCAATTATACGCTCTAGTGTCTTTTCCCTTAAGATTCATCTTAATGGGTCTGCAGCCAACTGGCCAGAAGGCCATCCTTCAGGAATAAGTAGACAGGAGGAATAAAGTCCACCTGCCTCTCTGAAGTTCTAACTGAAAAGAACAACCCTTTTTCTTTTCCTTCTTTTTAATCCCAGCTTGCTCCCCCTCATTCTTATTCTGTCTCAGAACACCAGCCGCACAGTTCTGTCCCCTGCAGCTGCTCCCTGGCCTCTGCTGCTGAAAATGCCAGCTTCTTTCCATCCTAACTCAGAAGGCGGCTCTCTCTTCTCCATCACCTTCCTCACAGCTGATGCTGAGATGACTGCTTATCTGCCTTGTTATTTTCCTCTCAAATTCAAACAAAATGCTCCTTCCTCTTTCCGAGTCTGTTTTTAAATTCTTTTATTAACAAGGCTATGAAGCCACAAACGGGAAACCCAGTCTCCTGGGTCTCCACAGAAACTACCTAAGTCCTTTTGAGGGGTCGCACCACGGAGACCAAAGGACCTCCAAGCTAAGCTCCACCCCTTAAAGGCCCCACCCACTTCTCAGCTTTGCACTGTAGGGACTACCCTCCTCACACAGCTAACCACATCCGACCTGGGTGGGAGGCCAGGCTGGGTTTCCGGGTTCTCCGGCTCCTTTTTGAAGGATTGGGATAGGGGATGACACAGATTTGCAAAAATAACAAGACAGCTTTATTCAAAGCAAGACAAGAGCCAGATGAGAGAGAGGCCTCCTGTCAAGACTGACAGTCGGCCGAAAGAGTGAGGGCACATCCGCCAAGGTCCCAGTTATTATTTAGGCTTCTCTCTTGTAGGGCTCAGGAGAAGGCTCCTAATGTGCCGAGATTGGATGGTTCTCAATTTTTTTCTTGTTGTTTTTGTTTGTTTGCTTGCTTGCTCCTTTTTCTTTTCTTACCTTCTTTCTTTCTTTCTTTTTTTTTTTTTGGTTTTGGTTTTGGTTTTTCGAGACTGGGGTTCTCTATGCAACAGTCCTGGCTGTCCTGGAACTCACTCTGTAGACCAGGCTGACCTCAAACTCAGAGCTGCCTCTGTCTCCCAAGTGCTGGGATTAAAGGCGTTTGACACCACCGCCCAGTTGGTTCTCTATTTTGACAGATAGATTAGGTCACATAATCATTTCTCCTATTACGAATAATCCTTTCCCATCATGCATCTTATCATCACATGCACACCCGATTGCATAAGATGACAAGTAGGGCAATCTCCCCAAAAGTTTACTTTGAGGGCACAGTTTGACTTACCAGCTTAGGCTGACTCAATATATTCAAATAGAAACTGTTAGCATTTGATTATTGTTACTATGTAACATTACTGTAGTCCCATGTAGGATGAGATCTGAGGTTGCTAGGGGAATTGTTTGAAGAGTGCTGTGTGCATAGAACATGCAGGTAAAGCCACCAGGCTGCCAAGTGATTAGAAGGAGGGCACCAGGTCCCTTTGCCTGCCTCAAGAGCACATTTGCACTTACATTGTTTGTTCTGAGTTAACCTTCAATCTAGGTAGGCAAGACCTGGTGGCCTTTGTGTTTGTGAAGTTGCCTCGGCAGAGAGGAGACAATAAGGAGAAAAGTACCATTACCACAAACCTCAAAGACAAGACCGGTCACCTGACCAGAGGAGCAAGGGGGAACTCACCAATAATTGACAGCCTTTGCCCCACCCCCATGTAATCTGCTGCCTGTGATGGGACCGAAGACAGATTTCTACCATGTTAGTTCACTATCTTCTTGGATTGCTGGCTCCGTGAATAAAGCACAGTTTAAAGATTCAATTCTCAGTTGTTTGCCTGTGTGTGGGGTGCCACAACCCAGTTACAAAACCTCTCCACAATGTGCTAGGCCTGAAGCCCGGAGTAACTTCTTTCTCTGCTAGAAAAGAATCTGCCCCCCATCTAAGAAAGGAGGGACCTCCTGAGTACCTCATTCTGGCTCTTCTCCATAAATGTGCAGATACTGAGGGTCCTAGGAGACATTACCCAGAAGGCATTACAGAGATGTCTGTCTGGTGGGAAAGAAGTAGCAGGAAAGAGAAAGAAAAACTCCATAGCTAATGGCATGTAGAATGCTTGACAGCAGTGGTCGTAGGGCTGGCATAGCAGGGATAATTAGGTTGAGGCAGGGACACTTCAAGGCAAGCAAGCTCAGAGCCGGAGGAGGAGGGCATGTTGGTTTCAGGGACAAGTCCAGCTGTGTTCTTAGTGAGCCTCACCTCACTCGACTTTGCTTCTCAAAGACTGTATTTTCCCAGTTCATTCATGGTGGCAAGCAGCCAAATGGAAGCACAGATAAAGAACTAAACACACGTATGAAACTGTAGTACCCATCTGTACAATTACTGACAGAAGACTACCCTATGTGTCAGATGGGCGTTCTTCCATTTAATTCGGAGAACAAGGCTTGGAGGTAGGCATCCACACTGTGAGAGAGGTCAATTAACCTGCTTCAAGTCACATGGCTAGCAGTTACAGGGGTCTGGTGGTCTCTCTCAAAAGCCTGCACACCCAACCAGTCTATGCTGCAGATGAGAAAGGAAGTTCTTGACTGATCCTAATAATGACCCAAGCATGGTCACCAACATTTGGTGAGAGTTCTGACAGAGTGATCCTGGGTCTGATGCCATGCTGCCCACTGACCACGTTGTCCAGAGGACCACTCTGATGGACGTCTCCACAGGAGCCCGAGCTCCAGCACCCAACAGTCATAATGGACTTTATGAATAACACCTCAGAAATGTCATTGGTACCGCAAATTATTAAGACTCCCCAACAGGCAACGCAATTCTTAATGTTCTTCAGGTGGCATTTTACACGATCCTCTAACCAACTGAGACTGATTGAACTAAGTAGATAATGTAAATCATTACAGAAGTTTATTGTTGGTGGTGTTGTTTTATCCATATGTTATTCATTCAGTCCACATTCACAGAGAGCCCACTCCCTTGACTTGGGTTGTTGCCTAGTCTTGGAGTCATGGAGGTCCCCCTACAATTCATGCCCCCAAGACTGGATAATTCTTCTAGCCAGAGGAGGGTGTGCTTACCACTCGAGGAGCCCATCTGGAGAGATGGCTGCTCCATGTCATGAAGCTGACTCTGCAGCTCCCGCACACGGTGGAAGGCATCTAGCTTCACACTGCGCTCCTGAGCTAGCCGGCTTCTCATCTGAGGAGAGAGGGTGGGAAGTAGGAATTTCTGCATGGTAATTTCTTTAGTTCCCTTGGTTCCAGGGTGACTTTTGAAGGAGAATGAGGGTCCAAGGCTACCCCACGATGAGCAGTCAGTCTTCAGAGTCCTTCACAGTCTGAACTTAGGTCTAAGTTTGTCCTCCTGAGAAGGAATAGCTAAAGTAAACTTAATTAAATACCAAGGACCACAAGCCATCTGTGGAATCCTTGCTTTACAATCACTAGGAGCTCATTTACAACTTTATGCTTCTTTATAAAACATTTACTTATTTTTTTTTACCTATTTACCTATTTGTGTCTGTGTCTGGTCACCTGCATGCCATGGTGCCTGTGTGGTTGTCAAAGGACAACTTGTGGGGACAACATGTGGCTCCAGTGGATCAAACTCAGGTCATCAAATCTGTAGCCAAGCACCTTTATCCACTGTTTTTAACATTTTTCTTTTCCACTGGATGGATAGGGGAAATTAGAGGCCAGCTCGTAGCATCTACATAGGACCCACAGGAGACCCTGGACAGTTTAAGCCGAGGAAAGAGGGACCCTCTCCCAGATCTCCATCATGGTTTGGTCTTTGCTGGGAAGGCCTTGAGCAGCACTCCCCCACTTGGTGTCTGAGAAAAGCCTACTTCCTGTAGCTATAATATCCTTTGCCAGCTCTCTCCTTGCACGATGACCTAACATCCCCTAGCAAGGCAGGGGAAGGACCCAAAGTGTCTCTCATCTGAATATTTCACAGGTATTTCTCTTCTAAAATCTAGCCCCTAGTTGTTTTTAACCATAACAACAATGATGAAGAAGAAACCCATACTAAAGTGGGTAGAATACTGTCCCCTCAGAACTAACAATTATCTAGAACTTCGGAATGTGACTTCTATTTGACATGGGGTCTTTGTAGATATGCTTAAGTAGATGGAGTCACACTGGATCTTGGGTGGGCCTGAAATCCAAAGACTATTGCCCCTGTTCTTTGAAGAATTGATAGGATACAGACAAAGAGAGGGACACCTAAGGAACTAGCCACTATACCACAAGCAGAAATTGAAAGGTTAGATCACCAAAGGGAAGAAGGCCAAAGATTATCAGCTACCACCAAAAACTAGGAAGGGACACGGGACAGGTTTTTTTTTTTTTTTTTTTTTCCTTACAACCTCTAAAAGGAACCAATCTGGTGTTAAGACCTCATTTTCAGACTTAAGTGTCATAAATAAATGTCTATTTATGGTAACCTCTCTCCCTTTCTCTCTGACTCTCTCTGACTCTCTCTCTCTCTCTGGCTCTCTCTCTCTCTCTCTCTCTCTCTCTCTCTCTCTGTGTGTGTGTGTGTGTGTGTGTGTGTGTGTGTATCTGTCTCTCCTTTGATTTTTGAGACAGGATCTCATGTAGCCCAGTCTGGCTTCAAACCCCTGATTCTGCTTCTGCTCCCCAAGTGCTGGGTCACAGTCATGTACAGTCTAAGTGGTGCTACATGGGTCATCCTCAAGGCTCCATGCATGCCAGGCACTCTTGGATCTGGCAAACACCCCAGCTCATCCCTAGAAAAAACTTCAAACTATAGTCCAGTTTTTTTTTTTAATCTAAACAGAAAGTCGTTGCCCCTGTGTGTGGGTTTCCCCCAAATGCAGTTTGGATCTCAGTAGCTCACTAGAGCTCCAGGTTAGCAGGGTGTTATCATGGGAAACAGGTCCATAGTCCTGTGAATGCCAGGTGTGTGTGTCAGGCCCTTGTTCTGGGGGTGGGGGTGGAGGAAGCACAGCAAGAGCTCCTGAGCCAAGTCAGGACTCAGGAAATGTGAGAGGCACTAGCAGAAGGGAGAGACAAGCTTACTAAGGGCCCTCCGTGTGTACAAACTCCTTGGCCAAACTCAATCATTGAAGGAGAGGGTTGAATCCAGGCTTATCTATCTGTTTCTGTTGCTTGTCTTTCGTTCATGGTCCCATCACAAACATAAACACTAACTCCCATTGAAAGTTGCCCATCAGTTCCTGTTCCAGGATCTGAGACATTTCATCTTCCCTCCAAACCTATGAAGTAGGTATATTGTTATCTCTTTTGTACTGATGTAGAGACTCACACAGAAAAGCCACCAAGAGTGTCAAAGTCACCCAGCCAGTTACAGCTGGGGGTGTGATTCCAAAGCCTAAGCTCTAAGTGACCTTTCCAGGCACAATACAGGCAAGGGGTGTTTGGTGGGGCAAGTTCTTCTGTGTATGTTTATCTTATTGGTTGTTGAATAAAGTACTATTGGCCAATAGGGAAGCAAGTTAGGTGGGACTAGGAGTCAAGGAGGATTCTGGGAAATGTAGTAAAGATTAGTCTTGTGATCCAGGCAGGAAGTGACATAGTAGGAAGACTCAGAATATAAGCGGAGACAAGCAGGAAATCGCTCTCTTCCTCTTCCTCCTCCTTTCTTCTCTGTGTCGTCGCCATGTGATCCCGAGAAGAATGGACACACACCACCAGCATCATCAATAAGTCTTTATAAATATATAGATTAATAATTATGGTTGATACTTAAGACAGAGATAGCAGATAAGAAATCCCAGTCATTGGCCAGCAGCACTGTACCTAATATAAGACTCTGTGTGTTATTTCTGGCAACCACATGGTGACAGAGCTCAGGCAGTTGTTGGAAAGATTAATCGTTACAGGTGTTGTCTGAAGTCAGTAGGTCATTATTCATCTATGGAGGTGTAGGTTAGAGGTGGGCTAAAGAAGCCATTGCTGGCCATGGGCCAGGGGTGCAGGGAGGGGAGGGGATCTTAGTGGCCTTTTGCTGACTGAGAATTACCTCTTGGGGTGGAGAAGCCCAGGGACACAAGGGCTATCAGAGACAGAGAGAGACAGTTCAGAAAGAGCCAGCAGTTTTGATGGACAAGTGTGTTTATTGAGAAAAACCTCCATTTATTTTAACTGCCTTAAGTGTCTTTGCCATCAAACAATTAACAACAATAGTTAAGTAATAAATAAAATAACAATTAATGTAGGATTAGTTTGAATGTGCAGTGTCTCACATAGGCTTGTGTTTAAACACTTGGTTCCCAGCTTATGTTTTAGAAGGCTGTGGAACCTTGAGGAAGTAAAACCTTCATGGAGAAAGGCTTCACTGGAGTCAAATTTTATAGTCTGCTTCTATTTCTCATTTGCTCTCTGCTTCCTGATGGGGGATCCGATGCTACCAGCAGCCTTATACTTCTGCTATCTTTGCCTTCTCTGCCATGATGGACTGTATCCCCTCAAATTGTAAGCCAAAAGAAACACTTCCTCCCTTAAGTGGTCTGTGCCACAGTAATAGGAAAATATAATACAGATAACTACTTTTATTTAAGCAGGTTTGAAGGATCTGGGCACTAGATTTCTCCTCATAGCCAGCAGCTGATGGAGCAAAGGGCTGGACAGCTCAAGGTTTTTTTGTTTTTGTTTTTGTTTTTGTTTTGTGGGGGTTATTTGTTTGTTTGTTTTTCAAGACAGAGTTTTCTCTGTGTTGCTCTGGCTGTCCTGTAACTCACTCTGTAGACCAGGATGGCCTTGAACTCACAGAAATCCTCCTGCCTCTGCCTTCCAAGTGCTGGGATTAAAGGGGTGCATCATCACCTCTAGTTTGGCATCAGGATTTTAATTAATAGTCATTATGAGGTTAGTGCCTGAACTATTATTCTTTTCCTAACTTTGGGGGGAAAAGTACCTCTTGGGTTGATGCACCCACCTAAGTTATCCAAAGGGTTATTACCAAATTCGTGCCTGAAGCATGCTCCAGGAGATCCTGAACTTCCTGAGATTATAATATAGCAGGGGGCCTCTGATAAAAGCATGCCATTGAGGTATATACCCCTGAGCTCATCTGTAAGAGTCAGCGGGAGTCCTAACTGAACTACCCATCATTTGAACAGATCTAAGGCTCAAAAGGTACGGGTTTTTTGTTTTTGTTTTTGTTTTGTTGTTGGTTTTTTTTTGACACAGGGTTTCTCTGCATAACAGCTCTGGCTGTCCTAGAACTTGCTTTGTAGACCAGGCTGGACTCGAACTCACTGAGATTCACCTGCCTTTGCCTCCTGGGTGCCACCATGTCCCACAAAGGTGAAGGGACCAGACCCTCACCCAGCCCCCTGCTTTAGTAGCCATGACAGGCTGCAGAAAAGACCCAGCAAGATGTAGGCCTCTGACTCAGCATATGTTGCTGAGTTTCCAGCCTTCTGACCTTGCTGGACCTGCCTTAGTCACTAGGAGGTCAGATACTCTCCTTGTGGCAAGGAACCAATCAGAAGTTAGCTGGTGGGCTCTGGACATGCTTTATGGTAAAAGTGGTGTAACAGTGGTGTGCAGAGCATAGCAACTGCCCTGGGAGGGTCTATAGGCCATAGCAACCAGTTAACCAATCAACACAGGACAGGTTGCCCAACCCCAGAAGTGCACCAATCCTGAGACTGTTGTGTACCCCTAAATACTCCCCTTGTTCTACCCAATAAATTCCCTGCCTCATGGGCCCCTTCAGACCCTTCTCACTCCACCTGAGGTATCCAATGGATGGAGGGCCTGAATTAATACAGCTAACTTGTTAAACAATAAAAGACTCTTTGCATCAGAATGGGCCTCTTGGCAATTTTGGGGTTCAGAATTTGGGCACAAGAAAGGGTAAGTTTTTTGTTGGTATTCTATTTAGCTTAGATTGACTTCAAACTCACAGCAATCCTCATGCCTCAGTGTTCCCCCTGCTAGACTATAGACACTAGCCATCATGCTCAGTTCATAAATGTGCAATTCTAATTTTCTTTTACTCTGCAGCAGCTCATCTCCATTGCCTCGAAAGTATTTTGTTTAGCCTTCGCTCAATTCAATTTAATGCTCCTCACTGAACTTCTCTTGAAGCCCTTGAAACCCTTGACCAGTAATAGTTCAATTTAATTTTCAAATTGCTTTTCTTCTCCTATTATTTCTAGTGAATGAATAAAGGCTTTATTCACTCACGGATATGTGTGAAGGACCTTCTGCATCAGGTTCTATTGAATTACCTTCTCTAGTCTACTTATTGAGGCTTGAATTAATCCATACCTGCATTATAAGAGCCCTTTTCTATTTCCCCTGGGGGATGTAGTTATAAAAATTATGTCTGCAAACCACTTTTGCTTTTTATGTTTATCTCTTTACTTCTAGAAACACCCAAATAAAAACCACTTATTACAGCTTTCAGATACTTGCTCCTTTCTAGACATTTTTCAGGGGTGTCACAAGGGTACTAGAATTCTGAACCTTGAACAGTGACTCCCAAGCAGTTGCCCCAGGTTGGTATACAGGTGGTATTTCTGGTGTGCCTAGAACTGACAGAGCAGGAGAGCCTGATGTGGGGGTAGCAGAGAGACCTGGAGAACAGACACTACACAGGTAGCAGACTCCTCAGGCTCCACGGACTCCACAGGACTCTCAGGGCCATGCTCAGCCGGCCTCACCTGCTGCAGGTCTCTGTCCATTTTCCTCCACCGCAGCTGGCCCAGTTTTGAAGCCCGCTCAGCCTCTGCTGTTAGGAGCTGCAGTTGTTGCTCCTTTTGCTCCACGTCTTCTAGGAGCTTCTCCATGCCAGATGTTTTTATGATCTCTAGCTGCTGCCGAGTGACAGAGTCTTGAGTCACTCTGTGTTCCAACTCCCTCAGCAGTTGAGCCTGCAGCAAGGGAGGGCCAAGGCAAGAAAGAAAGCAATCAACAAGCAGGCAGCTGAGGCTGGGTGACATAACAGCCCCCCCTTCCAGCACGGCTGCCTGTGCTGTTCTTCGGTTCTGGGGACAACAGCCTGATGGGTCCTGGGCTGGTAAGCAGTCAGAATCCTGGGATCTTATCTCACCTGGCACTTCTACTGTGAACCCCAAGACAACAGTCAGAGGGAACTGAACCCACAACAAAGTATAACAAAAGCCAGACCGTGCTAATGCCCCCTCCAGAACATTATCAGGTCAAGAAATTGAGTTTCTCAGTACAAACATCAGATGATGTTATTCATGCTAATTACCTAGCCACCAAATACTCATATTAACCGCAAGCTGCATTAGCATTGTCATAAAGCCTTTCTCATGCGGATCAACAGCGTGTGTGTTCAGCTCTGAACAGGAAAGGACATGCCATTGAAGCATTAGTGTGGAAGGGTACTTCTGCCCTGGGTGCTGTCTCCACTCCCAAAATATGTCTGGGAAGCCAGACTCTAGATAGTTAAAGAAGAAAACGGAGCCGAGCACAACAGGAGTCAGCCTGAGCTACAGAGTCACACCCTGCTGCAACAGAGCAAAGAAAAGTGAAAGTGGGGGAGGAGGAAGCAGAAGGAAAGTAAAGGGCCAATTTGGAATTTGTGTTCCAGTTGGATGAAAATGAGGACATGACTGATCCCAGGTACGGTTGAGGAGAAGGTTTCTATTGTAGATATGAGGGAGAATACAACCAGAGGCATCTGCAAGCATCCAGAGCAGAGAGAGAAAGTAGTAGACTGATCATGGCCAGCAGACTGGACAGAGCCTTGAGAGGAGAGGGGTAGGGAAGAGTAGGAGAGTAATAGAAGAGAGAGGGAGCAAGAGAGTGACCATGAGAAACCACACGGCCAAAGTGGTTGCGTTACAGAGGGAAAAAAAGAAGCTAGGGGAAGAAAAGGAAGTGAAGCTCAGGGGTTGGAGTTGTCTGTGTGTGTGTGTGTGTGTGTGTGTGTGTGTATTTTGTGTGTCCATGTGCGTGTGTATGTACATGGTGTATGTTGTGTGTACACGTGTGTATGTGTGTATGGTGTGTGTGTATGTGTGTATGGTGTGTGTGTGTGTGTGTGTGTGTGTGTGTGTGTGTGTATGTGGTGCTGAGAGGAGCCAGGATTCAATAACAGGTACTTGAGGTGCTGGGAGAGCCGGCCTTGATATGTTAATAGAACCTCAGTTAGCTGTTTGTCCTGAGTTTCTTTGGGAACTAACTCCAGTGTTTCTCCAGTCAGTGGTGGTATAGATACTAGGATGCTATGGTGTCTGTTCCCAGTAGCCACAGAATTCCTTCTCATGGCCACACTCACAGTGGCTAACTCCAGGGTTCTAATACCTGGGTATCCTGCTGCTGCCTGAGCTTCCTGTTGTCAGTGTGAGCTTCGGCCAGGGCCTGCCTCGCAGCCAGTAGTTGCTGATGAAGTAAACCCACTTCTTGCTCGGCCATGAGCTTGATTCTCAAGCATTCTCTTTGGCTGTGAATAGATTCCTGCAAACATTGCAAACACAGTGAGACCGGAAGTAAACTTCTCTTCTATGGTTTCAGTCTCAAGCCTTGGCTAGCACCTCACAGTGGGCCCTTCTTTAACACTCCTCATAGAGTAGAGCTCTGGCTGGCCATTGCTTGTGTGGATTAGTTATGGATAACTCCATAGATAGTGTAAATCCAGATTTTGAGAAAGTGCAACTTGCCAAACCATTCCCCATATGAGCTTTGTTTTGAATGTGTTTAAAGCATATTTTTCCTCATATCATCACAGGAAAAATTCAAAGCTAGCAGCTCAAGCCTTAATGAATACCCCTTCTGGTTTCTTCGCCTTTAGTAGGCACCATTCTTTCATTGCCACGGCTGGTTCTGCCTGTCTGTTTTTTTTTTTTTTTTTTTTTTTTTTTTTCTATTTCTCCCAAGGCTCTAAGGTTGCCTATTCCCAGGGGGGAAAATGATCAGTTGCCAATTGCCAGATTCTTTAGCATGGCTGGGCCTGCCACCTGCCACTAGCACGGCAACTGCAGTCAGCCTGGTCAGAAGCATAGCATAACACACACACACACACACACACACACACACACACACACACACACACACACACGGATTGCACCGAAGGGGCCTCTCTTCAACCACTCACCTTCTCTGCCCTGCTCAGCTGACCTGTAAGGCGAGCCTGCTGCACAGCCAGGCGCCAGCGGCCCAGGCTCTGCATTTTGCACACTATAGCAGCCAGGGTGCCGCTGCTGGCCTGCTCCAAGGGGCACAGCTGCTCCTGCCAAGAAGGCTTACTTTTAGAAAAGGCCACTCTGCGTCCTTTTTCCCAGAAGGGCACACAGTTCCTAAACCAGAAAATGGATACTAATTCCAGCAATGTGCCTTCCAGAAGAATGCGTGACCATGTGGAGCCCCACCCCAGGGCCCCTTTAAAACGCTGCTGCTACAGTGTTTGGGGGAGACTAAGGGGGCCAGTGATGGGCTGGGTGCTAGGAAGAAATGAAATGCAGCATGCCATCACGAACTTCGGCTGTGTTCTCTTTTGCTCCTTCCTCAGGTCTGGCAGAGCCCCAGGCTTTCTTCAGCTGCTTTATGTTGGCAATCCCTTCGGCTCTCACTTCACCGATGAGCTCACACATTTTCTGGATCAAATTAAACTGATTCTCATCCAGTTTCTCCTGAAAATTGCAGACTCAGGTCAAGGAAGTACAGTGTGTTGTTCTGCATGAAGGGCAGGATTAAAATGCACCCCGCCACACAGGTTTCTTCACACGGATTACAAGGCAGGCACATTAGGGGCCCTGAAGTGTTGTCCTGAATCTACAGGGCTTCATCTTTTGGCCACTTATATGTCCTAGAACATGCCTTGCTTGTCAACACCAGGGCAAATTGAGCCAGAAGGACAGTGGGCAGAGCCGTGGGAGATGACAGGGAGACAGGCTAAAGGAGGTGAGGTGGGGAAGGTGGAGTTCTGGCTCCCAGGTACACTCAGAGCAGAATCTAATGAGTGTGTCATTGTAGATGAGCCACTGGTCAGGAATTTCATTAAATATGGAGAAGTGAAGGAATAAACTTCTGTGCTTTAGTCACCCAGTCTGGAACATTTTATTGTGGCAGCCTGAGTAGACCAGTCCCAGGGCTGAGCAGAGGACAGACAGCACCATTTTATTTCTGAAACACTCCTCCAGAGAAGAAGGCAGGAGAATGCCCAGTTAGAAACTATGTCAGGAAGCCTGAGTGTAGATACCAGTGTGAACATTGCCATTGCCTTGGGGCCAAGGAGTTGGGCAGCGATTCTCTACTTCTGGGGGTTGGTAGAACTCCTTGAGTCTGGGAGAAGCTTAGAGCCCACTTTTTATCTTCTTATGCCTGCATGATTGCTCAGGACAGGCCTTCACAGACTCCCGCAGTACTACATCATTTTGAATTTGATCTTCTAATATTTGTAAGCATTTGTATTTTGCAAGTAAGAAGAAATCTCTAATATTCCCTGGAGGACAAAGGCAGAGCTTCACCAGGGTCTCCTGCTGATAAGACAACCCTAGGGTCTATTCTGGAACTCCCAGGGAGGGATGGGAAGTGGGGACTCAATGGGGCTGACTTTAGAGAGGAGGGAAGTTATGGGTTAAATGGGGCTGGCTCTAGAGAATATCCAGGGCTGGAGAGATGGCTCAGGGGTTAAGAGCATTGGCTGCACTTCCAGAGGTCCTGAGTTCAATTCCCAGCACCCACATGGTGGCTCATAACCATCCATAATGAGATCTGGTGCCCTCTTTTGGCCTGCAGGGATACATGAGGAGGAACGATGTATACATAATAAATAAATCTTTAAAAAAAATTGAAAAATCATGATAACTTTAAGAGAATATCCAGTAATGTGGGGCATTGTGGGTGTGTACCGAAATCCACAGGGTAGGGTGACCAAGTTCTCTGCTGGCTTGTTTTTAGGCATAGGGCATCTGTCTCTCTGATGCTCAATTTTATAGAGTAACTAGCTTCCACAGTGGTGTAATAAGGGAGTCCTATCATTCATTTTTGGAGGCCCCTTGACTAACAGCTTGGTAGCTTCCTGATTCTAAATGTAGAAGGCTGGCAGAAGGGTATGTAGAAGGTGGACCAGATCTGTGAAAACTAGTTCAGATTCCAAACCTGCCCACAAGCTCTCAGGATGCTGTTCGCTCCGCTCAAGCATGGCTCTGAGGTCCTTAGCTCACCCACTTGGGTGTCTCACTCAACTGAAATAACAGTGAGAGACGCTGGAGGGAAGTTGAAGCAGAATGCCTCCTCTTTCCAACAGCCACTAGATCTCAACTGTAGAAAAAACAACTCAGTTTTCCAAAATTGAGTGTTAATCCTGGAAGAATTGTGACAACTCAGACTGGTGACATGGCTCAGTGGGTAAAGGTGATTGTCACCATGCCTGATGGCCTAAGATTGATCCCTGGGACCCACACGGTGAAAGCAAAGAAGTGACTTCTACAAGTTGCCATCTGACTTCCACATGTGTGTTGTGGCATGTACATGCTAACACATGCACAAATGTAAACAAAACAAAATAAAATAATGACAACCCACCATTAATTCTCTCTTCAGCAAAATCTTCTAGCTGGCTAGACATAGTGGTGCACGTTTATAATCCCAGCACAAGGGAGGCTAAAGCAGTAGGAATGTTTTGACTCTGAGTTTGGCATGGGCTACATAGCAAGTTCCAGGCCAGTCCATACTACACAGCAAGACCATGTCTCAATAGAACAAACCTCCAACCAAACATAACCTTCCTGCTTGAAATTTGGGGGGCTCAAGAATCTCTTGGTACCACAAAGGCCATTCTGCTATTGGTCCCTTGGTATGCAGCCACGGGGCTTCCTAGATCACAGATGTGAGACACTTGCCTTTATGTGTACACAGGTCATAAACAAAGCTTGCACTAATGATCTGTATTCCTCCTGAATTTCTTTTCTAATCTGGTTTTTTAGGTTCAGACTCTCCTCTTCCAGATCTGTGAGCTGGGCTCTCAGAGCGGTGATTTCCATGATCAGGTCATGACTGAGCTCTGCAACCTAGTATCAGAAATAATGCAGAAACACAACATGATGTGTGGGTAGCAACAGAGGAATTACAAGCTGCAGAATAGTTCCATGTGGACTAGCCCAGTCTCCATTTGTAATCTCATGAAGGCAAATGGTCTACTGTGTAGCTGGGGAAGGCAGAACCTCAGGTTGGCTCAACAGTCCCAAATAGGGTCAGATGCTTCTAACGTTCATGTGCCTCGCCTCCCAAGTGCTGAGGTGAAAGACGCTTGCTCACCCTGCATGGAACATTCTTGACGTGATGAATGGACGAGCCCCAAAGACCCGGTACTTAAGCACAGTACTTTTGATAAACCCTTCAACTGTCTTGGCCTTCATCTCTACACTGGCCTTCCCTTGACCCCTCAACAAAATACCATTTCATTTTTGAAATTCACTCTAACTGGCATTTAAAAAAAGAAAGAAAGAAGTGTGCCCACATAATTCTGCCAAGTGCCCCCTCCCCAAACAATACATAACAAAGAAACTTAAGAAAAACCCTAGGGGAAAAATGCCCCTTAGGAAGACCACATACACAAAATGAAAATACAGTCCTTGAATGTGCCTGCAAGGACCTATGCAGAAGAGATTGCTGCATGCAACAGCAGCTTCTGGCAGACTAAGAGTATGTAACTGACCTACCTGGCCAGCACAGTCTTCAGGAGGAAGCTGACTTCTCCGAAGCAAGTCTACTTCCTGAGGAGGAGAGGATGGGGCTCAGTCTACCACACATGCACTGCAGTGCACATGCAACCCTTCCTGTGGGCGTCTACACAGCCGCATTCAAAGATCCTCTGGCCCCCGGTCCTGTCACTAGCTTGGGCTGTGCTTGGCACCTTGTTAGACTTTGGGATCTCTCTGTCTCCCTCCTTCCCTCCCTCTCTCATATATACCAGGCTGGCCTTGAACTTAATATATGGCTGAGAATGACCCTAACCTTCTGGTCTTCCTGCCTCTATCTCCCAAGTCCTGCGGTTATAAGATGCACCACTATGGGCAATTAAATTTTGAGGTTTCTAACAAAACATCAAAATATAACATGCAAGGCAGGCATGGTGGGACATGCTTGTAATCCTAGCTCTGGGAAGGCAGAGACTGGTAGATACCTGAAACTTGCTGGCCAGCTAGCCACGCTGAATTGACAAGCTCCAAGTCCCAGTGAGAGAATATGTCTCAGAAAATAAGGTGTGTAGTTTCTGAGAAATTCATATGAACATGTGTGTGTGTATGTGCGCACGCACACACACACACACACACACACACACACACACACACACCAGGACTTCCAGGCTTCTACAATGAAGCAGAGCTCAGCTATGGGGAAGTCATCAAGTATGGGCAAGTCCAAGACTCACTGTTTGATATCTTGATACATCATTCATTTTTTTGGACACTTTCATATGTGTCCCAAGTATAAAATAAAATTATATGACAAAGTGACTCTGAGACCCGATGGGTACTGGGACCTAGTTTTAAGGAGGTCTGTGGTAATTTGAAGGCAATTGACCCCCATAGGCCCATAGTGAGTGACATTGTTAGGAGGTGTAACCTTGTTGGAGGAAGTGTGTCACTGTGGGGGTGGGCTTTGAGGTCTCCTTTGCTCAAGCTTCTTTCACAGTGACACTCAGACCACTTCCTATTGCTCTTGGGTCAAGATGTAGGATTCTCAGCTCCTTCTCCAGCACCATGTCTGCCTGCATGCCATCATGTCCCATATGATAATAATGGACTAAACTTCTCAAAATGTAAGTCACCTCAATTAAATGATTTCTTTTATAAGAGTTTCTGTGGCCATGGTATCTCTACATAGCAATAGAAACCCTAACTAAGACAAGGTCTTACCACTGAAATTGACTGATAATATGAAGACAGATTATGTGTGTGTGTGTGTGTGTGTGTGTGTGTATGTCTATCCTCTGATAGACCAGGAGTAGTACAAGGAGATTGATGTTTTCTGGGGGAAGGGTAGCAGTCATAGATCTTTCTCAAAGGCTCACCCCATTTATTGGTCTTGCCTTGTATCCATGGTAACCTCTACAGTCTACAACCCCATTGCTGCTTGCAACTTCACAACTGAGAGTGCCAGGACCCAAGAAAAGGAACCAATGAGAAAGAAATATGGAGGGCACTGTTCTCCATCCCCCAGATTCATCATAAGAACAGCTCTCCTCACCTGCTCAGATATTCTTTGCCTGATGACGCTGAGGCCTCCATGCCCACATCCTTTCTCCTTCATGGTCCTCACTTCCTTGGTACCTACCTGCTCCCTCTGGCTGAGCTTCTCCCTGGCATGTTGCAGGACATGCTCATAACACATGGAGTAGGTCTCAAAGTTGCTGCGTTCTCTTGCCATCACATCACACCCCAGGGAGAGCAGGCAGGCTTCAAGGTGGTCCCTCCTGAAAGTGATCTGAAAAGATAATGATGTCTCTCTTGGTGGCTCCACCGGGGCTTCTGGCAGCCACACCAAGCCAGGGCTCAGGGTACATGTTGTTCTGGCTCGTAGACACATTTTCATTTCCCCTCAACACCAAAACCTTGATTGGCTCAGTCCTACCAAGCCCCCTTAGATGTGCTCTGAACCTCTGCAGAGCCAAGCACAAGAGGAGAAATAGAGGCTGGCCCGTCATGTGTCTCAAACCTTAAAGGTTATAAATCAAAGAGACAAACTATTAGAATGCAGTATTTAGCTCTACTTTCAAAGAAGATAAATGAGGTGGCCAGCTTTGAATGCATGTCCAGAAACTACTCTGAGTTCTATGATGAAGTCTGGAGACACAGGGAGAGCTGCTCCCCAGTCAGAGTTCACAGTATACCCCCAGCTTTCAACTCAGGACCCTAAGCTGCTGGGACAGTACTCTTCATCTTGCTCATGCAAGTTCCACCTGGGCCTCCCCCCCCCTCTCTCTCCACAGCTGCTTCTTGGTCTCTGCCACACCACAGGTATTCACATCACTAGTAAGGTCTATTGTCATTGTGGGGACACAGTTGAGGGAGGAGACCCATGTAAGTCTAGATCAGTGGTTCTCAACCTGTGACTCTGGACCCCTTTGGGGGTCTAATGACCCTTTCACAAGGGTTGCCTAAGACTATCAGAAAATACAGATATTTATACTTTGATTCATAACAGTAGCAACATTACAGTTATGAAGTAGCAACGAAAATAATTTTATGGTTGGGGTCATCACAGCATGAGGGACTGTATTAAAGGGTCACAGTGTTAGGAAGGTTGAGAACCTAACACTGTACTAAGCCATCTCTTTGGCCTGTACTTCTATTTTCTTTCTTTTTCACTTTTTTCATTTTTTTTTCAGGCAGGGTTTCTCTTGCACCCCTGGCTATCCTGGAACTCGCTCTGTAGGCCAGACTGGACTTGAACTCGTAGAGATCCACCTACCTCTGCCTCTCAAATGCTGGGATTAAAGGCAAGCACCACCACCACCCAGCCTGTATTTCTATTTTCTAATATAATATAATCACAATTTTGTACATGTAATTAAAATATTTTTTACATAAAGTGTACATACTAAAAGTTATGTTTTCAAAAAGTCATCAACTGTATCATCCAGGCATGATGACTGGTCCATTGGATCTGAGGACAATTTCCGCACCACAGGTATTCACGTCACTAGTAAGGTCTATTGTCACCGTGGGGACACAGTTGAGGGAGGAGATCAGTGGTTCTCAATCTGTGACTCTCAACTGTGGGAGGGAACCAGCTGCAAAAGCCCAGAGCCCTGGGACTCATTCTCCAGGCCCAGTTCAGTGAATGGGGTAAGGCAGGTCACCTTCACCCTGCTACCCACTGCACCTTTGGGCAATGAGCACCAGGAACTGTTGACACCCTGCCAAGGGTGCTGAGGTGCTCTTCAAAGCTCTGATTTCTTTGTGGGTGAAGGGAACTTTCTGGTTTGACTCTGATGAAAACCTGAAGCCATGCATTCAAGACTGGGAGGTCAGTGAGGGTGTGGCCAGTGACCTCACCTCAGGCCACACTGGAGGCCAGCCCCAATGACTCATCCCTTACTGGCCTGGGAATTCTGCCTGGAGTGAGCACAAGCCAAAAAGGCCTCCACCAGCTCTCTAAAAGGGCAATGGCCGCTCAGATTAACTTCCTGCCACCGTAACCTCTGAAGATATGGGCTGGTAGAATGCAATTGCCTTGGCCCTCTGCTGTGGGCTCCCTAGGCAGCAGAGGCTTCCCACAGCAGGGAGAAGGGGCCTTGGTGAGTTTGGATGGCACCAGGGAGACCAGGGAAGTGAGGGCTGTCAGAATTCTGCCTGTAAGTAAGCACTTCCCAAGACTGGCTAGAGGAGGCTCCACGCGTGTGTGGGGGGGACGGGGATGGGGGGGAAACGGGGGACGGGGGGGCAGAGGGACGGGGGGGGCAGGAAAGGGACAGGACCGCAGGTGGGATAGATGGATCCACTCCAGCAGTTCAGCTCAAGCACAGTCTTGAGAATGATCTGAAAGCAGGGGTGGGATGAGGGCGTGGGGAGGGGAGCGTGTCTGAGATGGGTGCTGTGGCTGCTGGTGAGGAGGAAAGGCTTTCAGTCATACTTTGTTCCTGCACATGCACTCAGCACTCTGGGAGGAGCCTATGAAGCCTTTTGAATAGCAGATGCTGAACCCCAGGGCTTCTGCTGGCACTCCCAGGGACCCTCAGCTGCACCCCTACCTTCCAGGTCACTGCAAATGTCCCTCCTGCTCTGTATAGAGGGAGCTGGAACAGATTTCACCCTCCCACTAACCCCCATTGGCCCAGATTTTCCCAGTAGGCACCACCACCTTCCTCTGGACTGGTCCCACTCAGCAGCAGCAGCATTTAAACCCAAAACTGACTATGACCATGGTGTTGGCTAGAAGAACAGTAGGTTGCCCTGTGCTCTGATTCTTCAAGAAAGCCAGTGTTGGGTGAGGACCCTTGGGTGCCAGGGCTCACTCTGTTTCCAGTGGCTTTATAGGAGTGTGCCACCACACCCAACACAATTTGTTTAGTATCAGGCACAAAAGTATTTTGGAGGTTTCTAAAACACCACTTCTGCTGGTGTGTTCTTACTGGGACTGACTCCCAAGGGTTGCACACAGGGCCACTAGGCACACAGGCCACATCTAACCCTATCCTGAGTGTCGTCCCCACACCCCACTGTGCCTTCTGTCCCCTGCCTGTTCTCATTTTGCCAGTTCCTCCTTGTGTTTGAAGATTCGGTCCTAACAACACCTCAGTCAGGAAGTCTCCTTCTGGCTTCCATGTACCCTCTCCTCATAAATAAATAACTGTACTAAAACATTTAAAAATCCCTTTTAATAAACTCCAACTCTGCCTCAAAGGGGAAAAATATTAGAACCAGTGATGGATAGAAGCTGGTTTTCTAGAAACTGGAAAGAGACTAGACACCAACATGAGTTTAAAAAAAGACACCTGCCAGATTGACCTGATTTTCTCAGGAAATAGAGCAGACAACATCCCTGGCTTCTAGCGGGATGCCTGAGAAGAGGACTGGGAGAGCATGGCAGCATGGCAGAAGAACTGCCTATGCCCCTGGCTCATGGATGCTCTAGTCTGAGACAGCTGCACAGCCTGGGAGGTCCAGTGTAGGCAGCTTGGGGCCTTGGGGATTGTCCTGTCTTTACCACTACTAATGACCTCAGAGCAGGCTGAAAGAGCAACCAGATGCTGAAAATGCAGATCTGTAAAGCTCTCAAGAGGTCCACAGAATGGACCAAATTGAATAAGAACAAGGCAGATGATGGGGCGGCAGTAGCTCAGTGAGTACACCTTTCGAGCTCCAGGGCACAGCTCACTGCACTGGAGTGATGTGGTGGCCCAACCCAGCACGCTTCCAGGCAGTAATCCAAGAGAAACATCGAGCCCAAGGTCACCGTGAGCCGAGCAGGCAACAGGCAAAGGAGACTGGCCACAATGGCAAGTGTGTGCCTCCTGAACAGTGGAAAGGAACAGGGGTGGCTTGGATAGGAGAGGGCTGGTAGTCTGAGGACCCCAGGTCACTGCCCAGTCACTGTGCATGGAAGAAACCAGTAAAGGGGCTCAAGAAAGCTCCGTTTCCATGTTCCGGAGGGTCCAACGGACATGCACCCACTTGGTTTACATGAGCAAGCCGCCAGCTGAACCATGCAGAGACTCCACCCACCACAGTGAGGGCTCAAACAGGCCTGGGCTATCTGAGGCTCACTGTCAGGGTCAGAACCATGAACTATGGGTCTCCAGAGACAGAGGATCTAGGTGAAGATGTCAGGGAAGGCCAAATACAACTTAACAGCAACTGACCAGACATAAGCCACCTGGGGCAGGGGCAGTCTGGTTGTGAGTGAGCTCTTGGCTCCTGTGAGAGAGCAGAAGAGGCTGGTGGTCTCCCGGATGTGGACTTAAGAGGAACCAAGTGGTCACCAACCCCCACCCCCAAGCATTTCCTGAGTTGCCAATGTACCTGATAGGGATTTGTCCTACCTTTGTATCCTACATTTCTTTCCTACACGATGTCATCCTTGCCTGGGGGTGGTGGCACATGCCTGTGATCCCAGCAGCTGGGAGGTGCAAGCCGGAGGATGGTGGGTTGGAGGCCAGTCAGGGTTACATATTGGAAAATGGAGCCGCTCATCAGCACACAGGACAATGCTTCAGTGTAACAGAGAGCTAAGTGAGTATATGTGCATGGACATACATCCCCAACCATGCTTGGCAATTCTCTACCTCGTAATTAAGGACCAAAGTCTTTATTATAAAATTATGGGAACATTTCCCAAAACGTAAGAAAAAATGTAAACCTGAAGAAAACTATAAAAAATTTGAGCACATTTTGCCAATACAGATTTTAAAAAAGTTTTACATTTTATTTATTTACCAAATTTTATAAAACAGAGTCTTGATGGTCTGGAATTCTTGTTTCCTTTCCTCTGTCTGTCTGTCTGTCTGTCTGTCTGTCTGTCTGTCTTTATGACTGACTGACTGACTAATTAGTATGTTTCTGTTTCTGTGTGGTCAGAGGGCAACCGGCTGGAGTGTGTGCTCTATTACCACTGTGTGGGTTCTGCGATCAATCTCAGGTCACCAGGCTTTGTAGCAAGAACCTTTGCTCACTGGGCCATCTCAGTGGCCCCTGGCCTGGAACTCTTCCCCCACCCCTCTTTCCATTATCTGTGTGTGTGTGTGTGTGTGTGTGTGAGAGAGAGAGAGAGAGAGAGAGAGAGAGAGAGAGAGAGAGAGAGAGAGAGAAAGAGTGTGTGTGTGTGTAAGTGTGTGAGTGCATGTGAGTGTGTGTGCGTGTGTGAGTGTGTGTGATGTGTGTGTCATGCACACACACATGTACATATACATGTGAGCATGCCATGGTGTTTGTGTGGGGGTCAGATGTGGCAACTTCCACCATGTGAGTCCACTGAGGGAACTCCCGTCATCCAGGTTTGGCTGCAAACTCATTTACCCAGCGCTCCATCTTGCTGGCCCTTGGCCTGGAACTTTTAGTCTACCTGCCCCAGCCCCCTGAGTGCTAGGATTACAGGTGTGCACCACCATGCTGAGCAGGACAGCTTTTTTTTTTTTTTTTTTTTAGTGGTTGGGTGGAGGTGATTTTTATGTTAAGCACTTGCTAGTGATCCTGGAACTGGTGTTCAAATACTTGTGTTTGCTCTCTTGTCTTGCCTTGTCAATGGATTCTTTTGATTTCAGCAAACACTTTTGGCCAAGGGTAAGCACTGTTCAACATTACAGTTTAGGGCATTATATGAGTTCAGATATATTTTCTGAAAGGACATAAACATAAAATTATTGGTGCTACTTCCATTGGAGAGGAAGTTGGGTGTGAATGATTTCTTACCTTTTGGGCTGCAGGCCTTTCCTCCAAACTGTAAACTTTAATAATGTTTCCTACTTAGATGTATTATAGATCTTTTTGATTTTCCTCTTTTTAATTTTTTATACTAACAAATCAACAACAGGAACTGCTAAAAGACAATCAACTCATGCAAAAGTTCCAAGTTTGTCTTTAATCATTGGACCAAACTTGGTGTTAGCCAATGATCATTTCCTGATTACTCCAAGATGGACAGACATTAGACTTTTTCATACTACAGTGGTGGTGAGTAGTGGTCATTTTGAGTTCAGCCTCAGTAGGGAGAGTGGAGAGCACCGGGGTGTGTTAAATGGCAGCCTTCCTCCCATGGGCTCCTGTTTAAAGGGAGCAGAGCCCTTTGTTTGGAATGCCTACCTCGGGTCCATCCTCTTGGGAACTCTCCATTAGTCTCTGTACAAATCTCTCAACTATCTGGGGTCTCACAACTGAGAAGTTTTCTTTCATGACTTGGTGTTTCCAAAGGTCTAGAAAACAAAACAGATCAGCACAGGCATCACAAAACACAGACTGGCAACAAGGACATGACTCCACAGCTCCCAGACAACGCCAACACAACAGTCTGCCACTTTGAAATGTCGGCAGGGAAGGGAAGGAGGCAGACTAGAACATAGAACCCTCTGGAGCATGGAGGAAGGGAAATATCTAACAAGGTTCTTAATAAAAATATTTGGGGAAGTCCCTCTGAGAACCAGTGAACGATATGGTTGCTATAGACAGAACCCAGGAAGAAATCCTTTGCTACTATGTTACTATCCTCTTTCATGATGTCTGCCTTCATTAATACCCTGTATCTGCATGATGATTTCAATCAAATGCAGCAATCAGAAGTTAACAAGGAACATAGCTGATGCTTAGGAGAGGAGACACACACAAACTTGTTCAGAGCAAAGTTTCTTATGGTAGCAGAAGCTGCGAAAACCCTCCCAATGGAGTAGTATGCAACTGTTTGCAGAAAGACATTCTTCCAATGTTGATGGAAGAGTTTGATGGTATTGATCAAAACCACTTTGGGTTATGAAGCGAAAATGGCAAGGCATAGAACAATGGATATAAAAGTAACCCACTCAGAGCCATGGCTCCAGGAGTTTCCCTGTCTTTCCTCCATCATTATTGTCCCTCCTTCGGGACTGTTCACAGCAGCACACACACCATCTTCCCTGTTTTATTCAAATCCTCCTCCGGATTCTGCTCTTGCCAGTTACCACCTCGTTACTCTGCACCTTTCACGGCAGATTTCCCAGAAAGCAATGTCATCCCTCAAACACATTTGCCTGGTTTTCACTTCCACAAGTCTGGGGAAACCGATTTTATTATAAATGCCCACAACTTCCTCTAAAGCCAGTGACTTGACTTGCCGGCCCTCGCATTTTGCTCAGTTCACAGCTTCCCTTGTTGGGGAAGCTTCCCCTTTCAAAGCACCTGAATACCTTCAGCCTTGCTTTCTTCCCAGCTCACTGTGCTCTGCCCTCCTCCTCCACACCCCTTGTGCCCCAGGACTCAGCCTCACTCATTTCTGTGTATTCATATATTCACCTGGTGTCTCGTCGTCTCACAGCTGACTTATAATTATAATAATATATAATAATCTCAGGTTTGGATTAACTTCTTTTTTATTCTAAATGTGACTTAAAACTTAACTTATGCATAATCAAGTTACCAGTGTTTCCTCCCTAAATGACTCCATTTCCAGCTTGCCCCATATCAAAAATAGAACTTCCATCTTCCCAGTTGTTCATTCAGAAGCCCAGGGTCACGAAGGACTGCTCTTTTCTCATGCTCCACAGTGCATCAAATCCATCACTGCTGCCTCAGAAGATACCCAGCATCCGGCCACTTATATTTTCAAGACAGGGGCTGGAGAATTGGCACTAGTAATGGTCCAGTGCTTGCCTTACAGGAAAAGGACCTCAGTTCTGTCCTGAGAACATACCCATGAAAGCCAGTTGGGTGTGGCAACATGATTTGTAAGCCCATTGCCAGGAAGATGGAAGCATGCAGATCCCCAAGGCTTACTGACCATCTAGCTTAGCCAGTTGGTGAGTGCCAGTCTAGTGATGGATCCTATTTTAACAAACAGGTGGATGGTTTCTGAGGTTGTCCCCTGGCCTGCACATGCTTATGTGCTCTCGTGTAGATGTTTATACATGCACACACATTTACAATAGAGCATAAGCCAGATCATGTCGCTCTACACTGGGGCCTAAGGAATTTTAGAAGCTGTGAATATGTTGGGGATGCCAAGACCCACTGCTCCCTCCTCTGTTTCACCTTGTCTGCTGTGGCTTTTCGTTTCCTTACAGATGAGACTCCCTGCCACTGTCCAAAATATATGGGGTGATCAAAGAACAAGAGCAAATATCCACTGCCATCTGCCCAGAAATGGTCACATCTCTAGGATTTATAGACTTTGCTACTGACCCAGCAGACTTCTTGATTTTGAAAATGGGATTCTGCATTTCTCCCACAGATGGCTACTTTGCATAATAAAACTATAAATCATAGTCCACGTTCCTAAAGATGCATAGGGCTTTAATAAACCTAAACTTTGATGGAACAGACAGAGCTGGTGATTATCATGGAAAACTTTTCAAATAGGAGCTTGGATGCTTTTCCCAGGGTGCTGTGTGGCAGAGGACCATTGAGGTGTTGTATCCATCACACACTTCTGGCTTGGGACCAGTTTGGGGTTATCTCTGGCTGCAGCTAAGGAGAAGCCTTTTCCTAGGAGCCGGAGGATTTGCCAGCTGTCTCCCTGCACATGAGTTCAAATTGAGACACACAGCTGGACTTACAGGCTGGAGCCAGGGTGAGAGAGGAAGCCATCCAAGGAATTTCTGGCAAAGAGGAGCCAAACTCCACATCTGTCTTGTTCTCAGTGCATGTGTGTGGCCATGGTGTCTTCAACATGAAGCAGCAGGAGGGAATATGTTTTCTGTCTCTCCCTCTGTGTGTGTGTATGTGTGTGTGTGTGTGTGTGTGTGTGTGTGTGTGTGTGTGTGATATGGTGAGTGTAAGTGCAGGTCGGAATAGAGGTCAGAGGGTAATTTCAGGTGTTGGCCCTTCCTTGCCTTGCATTTTGTTTGCACCAGGGTCTTTGCTTGATTTTTTTCCCATTGCATATTCCAGGCTACCTTTCGTCTTTCTGGAGGCATGTGCTAGGATCACTGTGTGTGGCAGCACCCAGCTTTACATGAGTCTGGGAATTCCCATCTGTGTGGCTAGCTCTCTAACCACTGAGATATCTCCCCTGCCTTGAAGTCACAGTTTTAGCAGAAGCTCAGAAATGGGAGAGAGGGAGGAAGCACCCCTTCGGTTCAGTGATGATATTTTTCTCTGCCCCTTGCCCCTGACTAAAGGAAAGTTTGATTTTGAGTTGGCCAAGGCCAAGACACTTCCCCTTTGTCCTTCTCTCAGAAGCACCTAGCTTGAAGCACCACACTTCCCCCACATGACCTGGTTGGGGTATCTCAGTGGTCCCTGGGAAAGCTGCAGGCAGAAGTGCTCTCTCCTCCTTTCCCTCCCCCTCCCTCCCCAACAGCCAGGGGGCAACAATTGCAAGCTTGAAAGGCACAGGAGGGAAGAGCATGTCGGTCCTGTGGTTTTCAAACTGCTGCCCTAAATAATAATATCCCAAGTGCTGCATTGTTCTGTGGACAGGACAGCGATAACAATACAGTAAAGGTTCTGGGGTCCAGATTAGGGGAGGATTTACACAAGGCTTTCCAAGTTCTCCAAACTTACTGCCATGGTTACTACCCATTGTCAGCTGGACAGGACCTAGAATCCCCCAGGAAACAGACCTCTGGGTGTGTGCATAAGGAAGTTTCTAGACTAGGTTCATTGAGGGCAGAAAATCCACTCTAAATGTGGGCAGCAAGAGTGGTTGTAGCATGCCCTGGGCTAGGAGCATCATTGTTCATTGTTCTCTCCTCTCTCTCTCTCTCTCTCTCTCTCTCTCTCTCTCTCTCTCTCTCTCTTTTCCCTCTTTTTCATTGTTCTCTCCCCTCTCTCTCTCTCTCTCTCTCTCTCTCTCTCTCTCTCTCTCTCTCTGAGTCATGATCTCCCTACACAGTCTTGGTATGTAGAGCTGGCTGGCCTTTAACTCACAGAAGTTCACTTGCCTCTACCTCTTGAGTTTTGGGATTAAAGGCACCACCTGTTTTTTTTTTAATACTGATTTAATTTTTTAAATTATGTGTATGTGTGTATGTGGGTGCCCATGGAGGTCAGAGGTGTCAGATCCCCAAGGTGGGTGCTGGGAATTGAACTCTGGTCCTCTGGATTAGTAGTACTCCCACTTAGTCACTGTTACCACTCCAGCCCCAAAATTCTGGGTGGGTTTTGTTGTTGTTGTTGAATTATTTTGTTGCCCTTTGTTTGTTTTGAGTCAAGGTTTCCCGATGTAGTCCTGGCTGTCCTGGAACTCACTATGTAGACCCACCTGCTTCTTCCTCCTGAGTGCTGGGATTAAAGGTGTGCACCACCATACCTAGCTTGTTTCTTTTTAGTGTTTAACAATATTCTATTAGCAAGATGTATCACAGTTTAAACAAATCAGCTTGGTTTTTATGGAAACAACAGACCTCTGTACATACTCTGACTTTACTGGCTTATGAGTTTGAATGAAATTACTCAAATTCAATGACAACTAAAACCTTCATAAGCAGGTTTGGAACAGACAATGATCAAAAGGGACAAAACCAGGCCAAAGGTTGTGACTGATCCATACTCTGCTGGTTTGCATCTCCAAAGGATGATACAGACAGACAAAAGGACAGACAGACAGACATGCACACACATACACACACACAGAGGCGTATATTGTATGTATTCCACTTTGGAGACTGTTGGCTTTCCTATTATTAAGGGAAAATTAGAAAATCTGTTTAAAATCAGTTTATTGCCAAAGTGTCAAAGATAGAGGTGGCAGGGCCTCTCTGAATTCAGGGAGCCTGTGTCTGGCACAGAAAGCTTCAGGCAGAATCAAGGTGTCTGTAGTCACTGCTGGCTCCAAGATTGCGGCAGAGGTAGGAGGAGACAACTAGTTCAGCTGTCAAGAGGTAGTACCAGGATCAGATGTGGATACCATGTTTCCACAGCTTCCCTGACAAACTGGAGACCATGAATAAAACGGTTAAGTTCTGAAGACAAGGTGGAAGGGAGACAGGAGGAGAAAGGCGGAGAAAAATCTTCCAGGGTTTTGGTGCATGCATGTGTGTGTGGGTTGACACCTTATATTTTGAGACAGGGTCTCCCACTGGGCTGCCTGGATGAGTTCCAGGGATCCCCTGTCTCTACCTTCCTAGTGCTGAATTACAGCCAGGCCTGTCTTTTTACATGGGTGCTGAGAATCTGAACTTGAGTCACGCCTACTCTGCAAGCACTTTACTCTAAGCCTTCTCTGGCTGGTGCAAAGGCAAATCCTGGTCTGGCCATAGAAAAGACCCTGAGGGAAAACCTTGGAGCCTCTGCTAACCCTGCAGGATCACTTTGCTTCTAAATGTTGTCTAATCCTAGCTTCCTCTGAGAAACTACCAGCTCCAGACTGTAGTGTCAAAGCTAACCACTAACTGCTGTTTCTCTGGAGCAGAAGCTGCTGGTTGGAAGCTTTGCTCACTGTAGCTGAAATGAACTGTAGGTGGGTGGAGATTCCAAGCTTCTGATGCCCTGGAATGAGAGTGACACCCATTCTGCAGACTAAACTGGAGAAACACTCACAGCATCGGGGGTACACAGTGCAGACCTACTTGCTTGCATTAGGGAACTCAGCTGACCCAGATGGCCATGCTGAGACAGACCCCCCACGGACTGAAGGCCAAAACCAAAACAGAACAAAAACAGAAGCAATCACCACACCAAAAGTCCTGGCTTTTACTTTATGTGTGTGTGTTGATGACGACTGAATCTAAGGTCTGGCACATGCTAGGCAAACAGTCTGAGCTGTATTCCCAGACTCACTTAGCTTTAAATTCTTGTAAGGACGGAATCTAAACAGGGGCCTCACCAGAACGGGTAGTACACTAGCCAGGGTGATGTACTAACGCCAACTTGACCACTGTTCAGAATAACTCCACTCTGCTCCTCTGCTTCCCGCCTACTGGCATTTACACAAGGCTCCCTGGAAGCCCAGCTGACCTCCCCACCTCCCTGGCCAGGGCAGCACAGCCACAATGCAAGCCTGCTTCCCTGAGCCCTGCCCTCACCCCAGGGTGTCATCAGGATAACCGTCTGAACCTGGAAGGTGGCTGCACCTGCTCAGGGCTTGTGGCTTTTCTGCTAGGATTCAGAAGGGAGCCACCTGGATGCAGTACACAGCACAAACAAGGGATCTTTGTGTCTGGTGAAGTGTTCCGTAACTGGAGCTCTGTCACACTCCACTCTCTGGTGACATTTGGAGCCGCCCTTGGGGGAGTGGTCAGCTTGCACATAGCACAGCCTTTCCCAAAGCTCTGTTTATGAAACTCAGTGACTTGAAAGTCCTAATAAAATGACCCTGGTAATGAGGAAAGAAAGAAAGGTGATGTCATAGGTGAGGATGAGGTTGTTATCAACACTCTGGTGGACATGGCCTCGCGAAGGAAAACCTAGTTTGTTTTGCCAGTCAGACAGTTCCTCCCTAGGTCAAAGGTTCTAGATTTTTCTGTGGAATTGTTAGGAGTTAGGAATACATATTTGATTGTCTCCACAATCCACAGAACCTGCTGCAATAAAATTTCAGGGACACTTGTTCAAAAAAGCAAAGTCTCTTTGCAAGTATGTAATAAGAAGCTTTCCCTCTTCCAAAGTCTCCTATCCTGCTGGGTGTTTTCTTGCTGTAATCTTACACTCCCTTGGGTGTGGGGTTAAGGAAACCTCAACTGCACCCATGACTCCACCCACACAGTTCAGGGTTAGTATGCAGGAGACCCAGCTGCTACCAGTCCCAGGTACCATATCCTGAGCCAAGCATCTCCCAGCACTCAGGAGGCTGAGGCAGGAGGACAATGGTTTGAGGCCAGCCTGGGCTACATAGTGAGACCTTGCCTCAAAACAAAAATCAAACACTCACAAAGCATTTAAAGTGGGAAGAAACATACCAAGGAGTAATGGTACTCTTCTGTAGATCAAGTATGTAAAATGATATTTTATATATGATTTGCTTGCTTTTAATAGTGCTGGGAACCAAAACCAGGACCCTGTATGTACTCTCTGTGTGCACTGTATGTACTCTACCACTGAATTACATCCCCAACCTGTGTGTGTGTGTGTGTGTGTGTGTGTGTGTGTGTGTGTGATCAGATGGGGCTCACTGTGCAGCCCACGCTAGCCTGGAATTCATTATAAAGCTCAGACTGGCCTCAAACTGCTGGCAATCCTCCTATCTCAGCCTCCTTAGTGAGGGGATTACAAATGCAAGCTGCTGTTGTTGTGAATGCAGGTTCATGGATAATGTGTCGGTCAGGACAGAAAGACACATGGAAAGGGAAGGGCACCCCTCATTCTAGAGTCTGGATGAGGCTGCTCTCGAACCAGCTGAGAAGTGAGAATTCCAGGAGCTGGGAAGAGACAACTCAACAATTAAAGTCACTTACTCAAGTTCAGTTCCCAGCTCGCAATTGCCTCTTACTCCAGCTCCAGGGAACCCGATGTTCTCTGTGGAATCCCAGCAAAATAGGAAGGTTTACTGAGAAGGTTACTCCATAGAGACAATACTCCTTTTACATAGAGAAGACTGTTAAGACACACATGCTTAGGAGCTGAGTCTGTGTGGCCTTCCAGTGTAGTCTTCTTTTTTCCCAGGTATTTTCTTGGAATGTCATAAAACAAGACTAACCCCTTGTTCATAGTAAAAAAACAAAACAAAACAAAAAAACTTACCTTCCCCCTGTAGCCCTTGACCCTACGGTCTTACCTATTTAGTGGTGGCCCTATTCAATCCACAGGAACCACCCTATGATCATATGTGGAGAATTCTGAGAGAAGACTCAGAGAGTGAGTTGCCAGCAAGACACCATGTAGCTACTGGGAACATAGGATGGCTGGGCCTTCTCTTGTAAAATATGGTCAGGTGGAGATATACAGATTAATAGTTATGGGCTAATACTTAAGAGAGAGCTAGCCAATAAGAAGCCTAAGCTATTGGCCAGACAGCTTATAGTTAATATAAGTCTCTGTGTGTTTATTTGGGACTAAAAGGCTGAGGGATAGAAACTTTGTCCACAGAGCAGTGTCCATGGTGACTGTACGATACTGAACTGTGACTTCTTCCCCAACAGATCCACACCCAAGCTCTCAGGTTGAGTTAGCCTTCTTCCTCCGGGCCTCTTTTTGTTATGCCCCGTTCTAAATATGATATAACTCTCTTAATAAACTCCAGCTCTGCTTCAGACTGGCTCCCCCTGACTTGTCCAGAGAAGGCAAGAATCTGTCTTTACTTGAGCAGAAGTCCCTAAAAGAAAAGGAAACTTTTCAGGTTTTTGGTGGTAGCATGGGACAATGTCTGTCCCCACCATCACTGACACTTTGTAATCAGAAAAAAAAATGTTAATTTTTTTCAAGTAGTAAAACAAGCACTCATTACCTGTTGGGAGGGTAGGCTCCTTGTTGGATTTTTCTGATAGAAGAAGGGTCATCTCTCTACTAACTTTCCTCATTACCTCTTGGATCATATGAATTTCTAAACTTTCCAGAAGTTTCTGGAGCTGGAATAAGCATAAATTGAGATAATAAGCATCACGTTGCAATTCAGTTATCTACTGGGCTCCCAAGTTCAATACTAATAAACGAGCTTCTGATTTGCCCTCTCCCTCAGCTTGTTTCTCTGGAAAGAAAGCCTTTTTGGGATCTTGAGTTCTTCTTGGGGATCAATACATCCCTCTTTTCTACCACACCTTTTTTTAAGGCCCTCATCCTGATCTATAAACTATAACCTCTCTTACCATATTCTACAAAACACTCTATGTCTGAAGTGATCTCATGCCTTTTGATGGTCTCTAAATGGCACCAGGAATCTCATGAGCTGTTGCTTTAATAAGAGTTGGAAAGCCAATTTAGATGCCAAGGAGGACGTCATGGGAAGACTTAAAGCTGATACATCAAGATGACTCGCTCCAATAGCTATGAGCCCCACTCTAGCACGATGCTTGTGGAGCCTACGCTTCCCTGTGGGAGGAACGCAGGAACTCCAGAAGAGTCAGGGTTTGGGAGCATAGACTGTGTGCTTGGCTCAGAGGTGTAGAAGTTCACACTGACATTTCCCATTGCTCAGTGGCCTCTCTGCTTGGACAGCCACAGGTCCTGGGTCCCCTGATAAAGCTGGGCAATGGCTGGTGAAGATTCTTCAGCACACTACCTGAGCCACTGCAAAAACTGTACTTTCTTTCTATGAGAAAAACCACTTCGAAATACTCTGTTCAGTATTTCCAGGTGGATGCGTACCGGCTTGATTTTATATTTAGGATCATATTAGTTATGCTCCTTATGATGCAGCATGTGAGTTTGAGGACAATGAAAATAACAAGAACCTAGATGTGGGGGTACTTCTTGGCTTACTCCAACCTTTAAGAGTGCCCTTCCCCCATCCCAGCAGGAAGAAAACACCATTTGTGTTTATTGTTGTTTTACGTGCCAGTACCAGTGCAGCAAGGCAGCTTTTCAAAGGCAAACTGAAGAGCTCTGTGTACCTGCTGAGCTTTTATTTCAATTTCCGAGGCTCCCATTGGAGGAAGAATAGATTGGCTTCTTATGATAAGTTCTTCAAATTCATCTTCTTTGCCCACCCTCCTGGCTAAAGCCTTCATGCTGGGGTAGAAAATGTCAGCTCTAAGAAATAAAAGAGACAGAAACCAACAAATAAACATATTTCCTCTCACTCCATTTCTCTGCCAGTCACTTTCAGTTTCCTGTGACCCAACCCCTTTAGGGACACATCAGCCACTGAATCTGGCACTCCTTTAGTCAATATTTGATACCGAGGCCTTTTTCTGCCGAGTACATATAACTTCTGTCTCCATGCTGCAAAACGTTGACACATCTTCTCATTTCTAGTTAACAGTGAACCTGACTCAGTAACTTCTGGGATGTGTCCAAGAGAAGTTCGGTGAGGTCTGGGGGAGTGGGCCTGGGCTTGCTAAGAAACAGACACATGGCAGGACAGCACGACTTTCCTGCCAGCTAAGTCATCCTAGATGATGTGTGTAGCCAAGGTCCAGGTAACCTTGTGGACCTAAGGCCTTAAGCCACATGTGCCTTGCCACCCTCTGGCTATAATACCTCAAGCATGCAGGCTTAGCACTGGGGCTATGGTGTCCCAAGCAGCAGCAATAGTCTACCCTATGAGCTAAAAAAAACCTCACTGTCAGCATTGTGGGGCCACTTAATATGATTAAGTTCCAAGTGACCAAAGGCTTTAGGGAGTAAGTGAAGATGCAGGACAGTTGAGTGGAATCTAGCTCTTCCTCACAGCTAATGTGGAATAGAGTTTCCTTACACCACTGCTTCGGAGACTGTTACTAGCTGCCACCTGACCCAGTGGAGCTGGGTGTCCCCAGAATCTGGGTCTGACTCTCTCAATGAAGTAGGAGGAACCTCGAACTCCAGGCTCTACTCACTGACATGAGCTGTAGAATATTAACATAAGGTGTGTTACTTTTGTTTATTCTCTGGGACATTTATTTACTGATTCAAAGATGTGTTTGATTTAATAAAATTCAGCTGTGGTCAGGAGGCTGGGTCAGCAACTAGCTGACAGGAAGTTGTAGGGAGGAGCCAGGTAGAGAAAGGTTTATAAGAGAACAAGGACTTCTCGGTGAGCTAGGTGAGCTGCTTGCTATTCAGCCTTTCTGGGGAGCAGGATTCTACCTCAACCTTTGAATCTTGAGTTCTTTAGTAGAATTTCGACTCTTGTGGCCTAGCCTGAATAGGATAGCCATAGCTTAAAAGGTAACAAAACAAAAAAAGAAAAACAGACTTTTTTTTGTCTGTTTTTGTCTCAGCAGTACTCACTCATAGAGCTCTGAGAACTGTTTGTGGAGGGGGGCAGAGTTGATCTCCTGGCCTTGAAGCTTGAGTCGGCCCCAGTGTTCCTTCAGCACTTCCAGTTGCTTCCACAGGACTAGGAAGCACTTCAGCAGAGCAAAGGGCATCACTGCCTCACACGGGCCCTCCAGCAACGCTGAGGCCTTGGCATGACTTTCCAACTGACTTGGGCAGAGTCCTAGACGTTTGGACCAATCTAACTGAAAACATGACAGGGACAGAAATACTTTGTCAACCATGACTTAAGACAGGATAATTTTTTTTATATGTACCCATGCAAAATAACATCCAGGAGAAATGGTTTGTAGGCCTGTAGTATGTGTAGAAAAACCCAGATTGTTGTGGAATAATCTTTCTGTATACTGTGAAGATAAATCACTAGATTGGTTTAATAAAAAGCTGAATGGCCAATAGCTAGGCAGGATTTTCAGGGCAGAGAGAATGCTGGGAGGAAGAAGAGCCAGAGTCATTAGGAGAAGCCAGCCAGACTCAAGAATTAGACACAAAAAAATGGGATAGAGGTAAAAGCCACATGGTAAAATGTATATTAATAAAATTATGGGTAGTCAGGCAATGGCGACTCATGCCTTTAATCCCAGCACTTGGGAGGCAAAGACAGGTGGATCTCCAAGTTCAAGGCCAGCCTGCTCTACAAGTGAGTTCCAGGACAACCAGGACTGTTACACAGAGAAACCCTGTCTCAAAAAACCAAATATATAATCTGTATATATACACATATGTATATATAATGTAAAAATATATGTGTTAAGCTATAAGAGCTAGTTAGAAACAAGCCTAAACTATCAGCTGGGCATTTTTAATTAATAGTAAGTCTCTGTGTGGTTATTTGGGAGGGAGCTGGTAGAACAGAAAATTACGCCTATACCAGATAGTTGAATATCCTTGCAAGTAGACGGGATAGAAACAGCTCTGACTCTGCTTCCTGTTTGCATCTTGAACCATTGATTTTTATATTTTATTTTGTCTCATGTAGCAGGTCTCAAAGTCATTGTGTTGCAGACAACAGCCTTGAACTCTTAAGCATGCTGCTTCCATCTCCCAAGTGCTAGCATTACAGGTATGAGACTCCACACTTGGCTTTGAGCCTCTTCCTTCAAACACCAGAATCTTCCAAAATAGAAAAAAGGTAGAGAGGGAGGCAAGGGGGAAAGGAGAGAAAGTGTGTAACAGGGACTGGAGAGTGATTGCTGCTCTTCCGGAGAACCCAGGTTCAATTCCCAGCACCCATGTCAGGTGGCTGACGATGTCCTATAACTCCATCTCAGAGACTCACCCTCTCCTGACCACCATAATCCCCTGGGTAGAAGGTGGCACACCCCCACACACATAGAAATAAAAATAAATCTTAAAAATATGAAGTGGGGACAGATGACTCAGCAGTTAAGAGCACTTGCTGCTCTTCCAGAAGACCTGGTTATGGTTCCCAGCACCCACAAAGTAGCCCACAACCATCCCTAACTCCAGTTCCAGGGGGTCTGACCTCTCTGGGCACTAGGTTCAAATATACATAAAAGCAAATACTCAAACATGTAAACAGATCTTTTAAAAGCTTTTTTTTTTTTAAAAAAGAAAAGAACATGCCTAATATGATTGAGACTGAAGTCTTCCCCACCCTCCATAGTGGAGCTGTAACTTTCCTGTGGGGATTTTTCCCATTTTATGAATCAGAAAACAGAACTTGGGTTCACTGAACCTAGCTGACAACTACCTATAAATCCAGCTCAGGGAATTTAATACCTTCTATCCTTTAAAAGCAAAATGGAGAACTTTTGATTTAATTTACTGTTCCATACTCAAATTTACTTTAACCAATTCATCAATACAGGGTCTTGTGTTCCTGGATCGTCTGGCACTCTTTGCAACTCAGACTAGTCACAAATGTGTGATGAGCCTCCCTGCCTCAGCCTGCAGTTTTCCTTTGAAATTAGGATTTGTTCATTCTTTCACGGATGTTTCATTAGATAAGTATTTCCCTAATGGATGTGGAAGAAACAGTTTCAGGCCAGCCAGCGAGTGCTAGGAAGTCCAAGGCCACCCAGAGGCTCAAAGACACCTTTGGGGGCCTGAGTTCAGCTGCTTCCTGGAACAAGAGGGAAGCTTTGTTTTGCAAACCAGATGGCAAATCCTGTGGCCTAGAACATTCAGACAGCAGAACCAGAAATTGGAAGAGCAACCTGGTGTAACTGGAGCCTACATCAGTGTTATTCACACAGCTAAGGGAAGATGTATCTGCCCATTAGAGAGCAGATTAGAGACAGTCGTGAAGAACTGACATCCAGGCCCAGGGGAGTGAAGGGTCCACAAACAGCAAGCAACCCCTCAGCTGTGCAGCCTTCTTGGCAAACAGTCTGTGCACTTCAGATGTCTTTTCTTGTTTTATACTCAGAACCCTTTCGTCAAATGAAATTGGATCCATCGAGGCCAAGATGTGGAGGGGGCAGCCTGCACACCACATGATTGGTCCCCACTGCTAAAAAAATCACTGTCTTAGAGGAAATGTGGGCCTCCCTAATCCACAATTTTAAAGACTCTGAGTCAATCTACCCCTTTAGTTTAGGAGACAGTGACCCTGAGGGATCACAATACCTGCCACAGACGCTCAGGGGATTGGCTCAGGGCAGTAAAGATTCTAGTGTTTCCTGTTCCTATAAATAGCTAAATCCTTTGAAATGAAACTAGATCCCAGGGCTGGGGATGCAGCTCTGTAGTGAAGTTGTGTGTACCATGCTTAAAGCCCTGGGTTTGGGCTCAGTCACACACACATCATAGAGTAAAACCAATCAAAATAAAATCAAAATCATTAAATCAGACTTACTTCTTAATATGTTTGTGTTAAGAGTAGCTACCTCTAAACATTTTATTTTTTAATAGACTTTGCTTTAAAAAAAAAAAAAACTTGGAAATTAGCTAGGTTGAGATGGCTCACGCCTTTAATCCCAGCACTCTGGAGGCAGAGGCAGGTGGATCTCTCTGAGTTCAGTCTAGCCTGGTCAAAGAATGAGTTCCAGAACAGTCAGGGCTACCCAGAGAAATTCTGTCTTGAAAAACTAAAGCCCAATACAAAAAACTTGTAAATTAAACACACACACACACACACACACACACACACACACACACACACACACGCATACGGCGATTTAGCCAGATCAAAGTCTGTATGTCTCAGTAAACTTCTATACAGTTTGAACAGCCTGTGGAGTTCCACACTGGCTTTAAACGTTCACTAATGAATATTATTCACTACTAAAACTGAAAAAATCTGCAACTGAGTCTAGAAAAACAATTAAAAAATAAATGACAACAGTGTTAGGTTGCTGGGAAAGAGAACACTTACCCACTGTTAGGGGCAAACTGGTAGAGCCAGTGTGGAGGCATCTCAAAACCCTAAAAACAGCATTTCCATGGGATCCTGCTGTGTCACTGTTGGCATTTACTCAAAGGACTCTATCTCCTATTACAGAGATACGATCTATGTTCAGCTATGTCTTTTGTTGCTCTGACGGTATAGCAAGGATAAGGGAACATGGTACATATACAGAAAAAGTAGAATTAATTATTCAATGTGCAGGGAAATGGATGGAACTGGGAAAGATATTAAACAAGGTAAGACAGGCTCAGGAAGATGAGCACCGGTGCTCATGCATGTCATACCTTCTCCTTTTTACATATGTATATCTATGTGGAGGGCAAGAGGGCAAATGCTTGGACACACAAAGCCTCCATGAAAGGGGAAAGAAAACTTTCAACAGAAAATCAACCTACCAGCAAATCTCGAGAACTTGTGTCTGTGCTGTAGTAGGGACAGCCCTCGCCCCCAGAGCCAAGGAAAAGAAAGACAAAGGCCATGCCGACTGATTAGTGTCCTTGAGTGACTATCAGCAAGGAAACACAACAGTAGGCTTCTAGAAAGCTGAGGTCTGACAAGGAGGCATTTTAGGTAGGGGTTCAGCTAGCTCACTGATTCCAACATGCCACTTCCAGGTTTCCAGTCTATGAAGGGTTGTTTGGAGTTATTTTACACAGTGGGGAATGATTCTTGTACCTAGAACTTCAGAAGGTTAAGCCGAGGAAACACTGCCAGTCTAGCACCCTCAGGCTAGCTGAGGCTCTCACCTGGGGCTTCTGGCATGACTCTGGGATGCCCATCTCTAGTGCTAAAATAAGTGCCTCCCAAGGAAAGCATGAGCTGAGAGTCTGCCTTGGGAGCTTCAATGACTCCCAACAGCCTTTGTTTTATTTTAAAAATAGCACAATGGAAGGCGGGGCAGGCCAGCTGGGCTATGCAGCAGGACCCACCTCAAAAGCATTTTAAGTCAAAAGAAATATTTTTAATTGGCAGAGAGTGGTGACATGGACCTTTAATCCCAGAATTCAGGAGGCAGAGGGAGACTGACCTCTATGGGTTTAAGGCCAGCCTGGTCTATATTATTAGCAAATTCCAGGTGAGCCAAGGTTGCATAGAGCAGTGGTTCTCAACCTTCCTAATGCCATAACCCTTTAATACAATTCTTCATGTTGTGGTGACCTCCAACAATAAAATTATTTTCATTGCTACTTCACAACTGCAATTTTTCTACTATTATGAATCGTAATATAAATACCTGTGATTTCTGGTGATCTTAGGCCACCCCCTGTGAAAATATCATTCAACCCTCCCAAAGGGGTTGGGACTCACAGGTTGAGAACCAGTGACATGAGAGACTGTCTCAAAAACAAACAAAAAAGTATCTTAATTATACATGTGTATGTGTGTTAGTATCTCCATGTCATTTGTGTACATCAGTACAGTTACAGGTGGTTGTGAGTTACCTAATATGGGTGGGTACTGGAAACAGAACTCTGGGCCTCTGCAAGAGGAGCAAGGGCTCATAACTACTGAGCCATCTCTCCGCTCCCATCCCTACCAAAAAGACAAAACCAAAACCCGCAACCTTTTAAGTAAATAAGTGGGAATTTAATTGTAAGACTCGATGTGAAAGAAAATGCCTGAGAGCAGCCTTCCACGTTTCACTGCCTCTGCTTTGTGGCCTTAGCACAGTCCTGGCATCTATTGGGAGCAGTTATGGGGATGATAGCCCTCTAGTCTGCCTTTCAAAAGAGGGAAGTCCTTCACTGTAACACAGTACTGGCCATTTCTGCAGCCCATTTGCTAAGAATACCTGTGTATTGTATTGTGTGGCTTGCCGTTCAGGAGAATGATCCGTGATCACGTGAGAGCCACTCAGAAGTACGTCTTCCATTAGCGCCTGCACACCCACCAGCTCCACGTGGGCCACTTTGCGGTCACGGTCACTCAGTCCACAAAGACACATCTAGAAACAAACAAAATTACCTTCCCATTTTGAAGAGACCTACATATCCTTTATAAGTGGTTTTGAAGAAAAATATTAAATGCAACGATGCTAACAATCTTTACCCTTTCAACTAATAAAAGACTCCCCCCAAAATCAGAGTAATATTTCTAGATTAAAGTCCTTCTTGAATGTATTAGGTTTCAGTGTAGAAGTAGCAAATCTCCCAACCTTACAGCAGATACCACAAACGGGTGGTATAACCAGTTTCCTGTAAAAGTACCCACACAGGCATGCCCTGGGGAAAAACCAGGAGAAAGACCCTAAATGTGAACTGCTATTGTCTCTGTTTTTGTTTTGTTTTAAATCCTCTTGCTTTTACTGCTAAAATATCTTTTTACTTATGGAGGATTTTAAACATACACAAGTACAAACAAATTATATCCATCAATATATAGCCAGTCTTGCCTCACCCCAACTCTCCACTCCATATTCTGAAGCCAAGTCAGAGTTGAGTTTTTGTTGTGGCTTTAACACACACACACACACACACACACACACACACTTAAATATATTGGTGTTTCCTTAATCATGAGAAAGCATAATTTTTTTTCAAAACAATTGAAAGCAGCATCATGATAAATAGAACAATTAAAGTCCCATCCCAGGTCAGGTGTCCTATGCCTATGAGTGTCAGTTGGCAGTTTCTCTAAGAGGCTCAGACGGTGACTCTAGTCATTGCTGTCCTGGGAACTACAGCTGAGTCTACAGCAAAGGCCAATCATGCTGAGAGCATGATTTTTTCCACAATAAGAAAATATGACTCACCTGGCTGCCTCAGGTTACAGCTTCATAATTAAACACTCATTTCTCATTTATCTGATAAATCACCACTGACTAGAGCATGAACCTGGTGATAGCCTGCTTTGCAGTCTGTGTTCAGTTCTCTCCATCAAGTGGGAAGACAGCTCTACCTGCATGTCATACTCTAAGGTGTTTGGGATGCTGCTCATAACCGGAAATGGTCCACCGTCTTCCAGAAACGCCCTCCATGGGAACATTGAAAATGCCTAAATGAGACAAACAACAGACGAGACAATGGTCTCATGCGTCCCTCAGATGAAGACATGCATGAGCAAGATTTCTGTGTCCGTCTCCAAAGCCCCCTCAGATGGTTCATTCATTACACCTTCTCATTGGAGTAACACAGGGAGGAGTAGCAGCACTATTACTGAGATGGTCTCGGTATAACAAGGAGGTGCCAGTGTTCAAAGTTCTAGAACAAGAGGGGTATGGTGGCATACATTGAGAGACTGATGCAGGAGGATTGCAAGTTTGAGGTCATCTTTAGCTAGACCAGTGGTTCTCAACTTGTGGTTGGTGATCCATTTGGGGGTTGAAAGACCCTTTCACAGGGGACACTGAAGTCCACCGGGAAATACAGATGTTTACATTGCAGCCATAACAGTAGGAAAATTACAGTTATGAAGTAGCAACAAAAATAATTTTATGCTTGGGGGGGTCACCAAGGGTCACATCATTATGAAGGTTGAGGACCACTGGGCTAGACAGTGAGACCCTGTCTCAAATGAAACAAAACAAAGGAAGTTCTGGAATAATACAATAAATACCAAGAGTGATGGGGGAAGGTCCTTCTGTGTATATGTTTGTCTTATTGGTTGATAAATAAAGCATTGTTGACCAATAGGGAAGTAAGTTAGGTGGCACTAGGAGAGAAGGAGGATTCTGGGAAATGTAGGAAAGGGAGAGAGCCACCATGTGATCCCAGGAAGAGAGGACACATAAGGCCGGCATCCTTGGTAAGATAAGTCCTTATAAAAATAAGTAGATTAGTAGTTATGGTTGATAATTAAGACTGAGCTAGCAAATAAGAAATCCTAGTGATTGGCCAGCAGCACTGTAACTAATATAAGACTCGGTGTGCTATTTGGGGGCCCTAAAGCGGCAGCAGAACCCAGGCAGCCGGGAGAAAGAGTTATTGTTACACAAGAGGGTATGTTTTTAAACAACAGAAGTAAACTTAGTTAAATGTGGTCCATATTAGAGACCTTCTGTTGTCCTTCCTCATCATTGTGCTCCAACTGTAGGCATCACCTCAGGCCAGTGCTACAGTGGTGTAGTTGACCCCTGTCTTCTCTGTATTACAGAACAACTGAGAACATTGTATTTCTTATGACACCATGTAAAGCCTGGACGCAGCAGACTACCCACTGAGCCACACTCTATACTTCTAGACCTGGTTCTTAGGCACCTCGTAGAGTCTGTGGTGGATTTGTAGCAGTGAGCCAGGACACCCACACCTGCCTAATCCAAGGCAACATCCAAAGACATCAGCAGCAGGCCCAGTGTCACAGCCAGCTCTGTCCTGTGGGTCTAAAAGAGGGTGAGGATTGGACCAAAAGTCACTGTCATTTAGCAAGGAAGTAGGTTAATCTTGAATCATTTGTAGTGTTTAAGTAGGAAACTTGCAAGGTGATTTTAAAGCTTATGTACACAAACTCTTTCCATCGGCAGATAGGGTTTGTACTTAGGGCTGGGGACACGCCTGTAATCGTAACATTTGGTAGTGGAGACTGGAAAAACAGGAGTTCATATTTGGTTACTTAATAGATCAGTTTGGAATATGTGACACTCTATCTGAGAGAGAGGGGGGGGGTCATTGGGTAAAGGAGTTTATTAGAGTTTGATGACCTGACTTTGATCCCAGATCTAGACAGAAAGAGAGAACTGCGAATTGTCTTCCGACCTTACACATGCGTGCACACAAGCAGGCATATGAACACACACACACACACACACACACACACACACACACACACACACACAAATGTAATAGAAAAGAAACGAAAATGGGGTGTGCTGGAGGAGAAGGGAGTGACTCTGACCCTTTGAACATGGCTGAACTTAATGGTTTACTGTTCGTGACTGGACCATGGCAGAAGTCAGGGTGTCAGCTCTGAAGGCAGTCATGCAAAGGTCAAGGCTTCTACCTCGGGTTCCCTCTCTTGCTCCAGGGAAGCCATTTCCCATGTTGTGAGGAAGTTCTACAGTGAAGACTGTGGGAACAGCCTTGGATGTGGATCTCCTGACAGCTGGATAAATGAGGCTGCAAGCAAACCTCTCTAGTCATGCCCTGAGATGATCTTCAGCCTCCAGAGAAACCCTGAGCCAGCACTTTGCACCTTACCTGTTCCCAGCTCCTGCCTCCAGGATCTGAGAGTGATAATGGATGCTTATTGGGGTCAGGCTTGTGTTTGTGGCAGTAGAAAGTAACAAGCTTTGGGAACCTGATGCTGCTTTGACTCTCTCACAGGTCTTATCTCTGGCTTTCCTGAACTTTGACCTCTGCAGAGCGGGTTAATGTGCCTGAGTGGGAGTAGTCATAGTTTGTAGGATTACATTTGATAACACACATTGTAACCAGGGCAATTCAAAGCACAGGGCCTGACCTATTTATGCATTGTAATTGTGTCATTACTTACTGAATAGAAAAGATCAAGTCTTTGGGGTTTTGTTTTGTTTTGTTTTGTTTTGTTTTTTCCCCTGACTGCTGTGAGCATCAGCCTGTTGCCCCCAGTCATCCCATTGTGAACATTTGCAGAAAAGACCCTGCTGGGACTAACTCCTGGTCACAAGTCCCATGGCTCCCTGTGTGAGTGAAGGGAGGCCAGTGAAGACCGAGGGCCACTGGAGTATGAGACCCTGCAAAATGGAAACCAAACAGAAATGAAGGACCAACACCCCAGTATTCCACACAACACGTGTGAAACTCACCCGGGGGCTCCGTGGATCCAGTGGCTGGGGCAGGCTGAGCTGTGAAGAAAAGATGCTCCTCCTGAGACAGTTGCTCAGTGGTGGCAAACCATGGCACACACCATCTGCCACAGACTGGTGGGCCGGAGCATTTCCTGCTGCCAAAAATGTCCTGTCAAAATATGGTGAGAGTTTTTGCTTAGTGTGGTTACTTATGCTTTCAAAGGCCAGAACTTTCTTCAAACGGAGAGAAACTTTCAAAACAAGAGAATATTTTGAAAGAGGAACAAGGTTTCTCCCTCAACCACACCATCCAAGCTCCCCCTTCGCTCTCACAGTCTAAAACCCTCTGGGAGAAATTGATACTTTCTATCAACAGAGTACATTGATAGAACTTTCAGGAAGGTGGAAAGTTCAGAAGGCGCTGGGTATATGGAATTGTTGGACACCTGAAGTAAAGTTCTTGTGAATGAGGGATTGAGTTTTAAATTTTACTTAATTTTAGCTCCTACTCACTTAAACTAATCAGCTACCTGGGGCTGCCAAACTGGGCATCAATCACATTGATCGATCCAGAACAAAGACTCCAGATGTCTGCTCAACTCTTTTAAAGTTAATAGCTGAAGCAACAGTTCAAATCTATAAAACCAAATTTTAGCTTTGCACATCAAGAACCACAAACACTTAAGACTAGAACATGAAATGTATAAAGTAAGCAAGAATGAGAGGCATATGGGATAATTAGGAGTGATTTCCTGCCCCAAAGCAAATAAGATTAACAATTAAGTACAGAGCCGGGTGTTGGTGGCGCAGACCTTTAATCCCAGCACTCGGGAGGCAGCGGCAGGCAGATCTCTGTGAGTTCAAGACCAGCCTGGTCTACAAGAGCTAGTTCCAGGACAACCTCCAAAGCCACAGGGAAACCCTGTCTCGAAAAACAAAACAAAACAACAACAACAACAAAAAATTAAGTACAGAGTTTCTAGATCTCAGCTAGACATCTCTAACATATAAAGGATGCCCAAGAAAAGTGCTGACAAGGGATAATTTGGGGGAGAGTATCTCCGAGAACTGATGTCTTCTTCGGAGTCCAACTCTCTGGCACCAAGGAGAAAGGAGACTTGCCAGGCTGAGGGAAATGGCAGCTGATGGAACTGAGGAGGCTAGCAGAGGCTAGCATGTCAGGGAGACTTGGAGTGCCTGGGTCCCCTCAGTGAATGTCCACGGGTGATGTGGAATGGTGGGAGTGGACCTGACAGCCCACCACAGAGGTGAGTAAAGTGGCCACCCCTCTCTAACTTCCAGCATCACTCACTAGCATGGCTTAGAGCCCAGGCTGCCTCTGAGAAGAAGGAGCAAGGGAAGGGTGTGGTGTGAGCTCTAAAATGAAGGTCTAGTGTTAGGAGTTGCCTGGACACCTGGAAGGACCTTGAATAGTCTACCCGCAGCTTCTCCCTTCTGGCAGGATAAGGTTCCCACGCCCACCCACACTCCTTATCAAGGAGAGCTCTTTCCACTGTCTCTGAGCAACAGCTGCTTCCTGCCAGACCTTGGAGCTAGGCAAACAAACTGATCATGCCCCGCTCCCCCGACCTGGTAACCTGGGAGGACCACACCCTCTTCCACAGCCGAGTCTGCCTCCCTCTGTCCTGGCATGTTCACTGGATGTGGCCTCTCCTTCCTGTGAAGACACAGCACTAACAAACTGCTATTCATCGTATCTGGTCCAGTATTTGGTGCCATCAGTTCAGCCATCACAAGCCCCAGAGCAGAATCTCTCCCTCACCAACAGGGTGAAGAGGAGGCAACTAAAGCAAACCATAACTAACTGGCTTGGAATTCCAGGGCAACCACTTTTAACCCATGTGTGACTCAGTGATGTGGCATTGGAAAGGGAAATATTTTGGCCATCAGCAGAAGTAGGGACATATAAACTTAATAGTGGAGCACTTAGAGGGTGAATAAAATACTGACTGGTGGTGCGTGTGCGTGTGCGTGTGCGTGTGCGTGTGCGTGTGTGTGTGTGTGTGTGTGTGTGTGTGTGGACACTGAACATGCTAAGCATGCACTCTGCCACTGAGCTAAACCCCAGCTCCACACACTATTTAGGATGGAGATTGGGGTTGCCTAAAGGCTACATAAACCTTTTCCTTTAACTTCCATGTGATCCCTCAGTGGAAAGCACAACACAGCAAATGCAGCAGTGACATAGTGTGCCAGGGATGTTCACAGTACTGAGTCAGGAACTGCTTGAAATACAACGACAAAACTCACACAGGCCATCACCTCCGTCCCAATGCTACAGAAATGCTTCCCACCTTCCCCTAAATTTTCCAAGGTCTCTCTATGCACATATAGGGTAAATGCACCATATACATATACCATATATATGCTTACTTGAAATGACGGCATCAGAAAGCAGAACATTTGAACAGAAACACATTTCAGCACAAGTCACGAACGCAAAAGCAGAGTGACTGGGAATAGCTTCTTCCATTGCATGCTCCTATCGATGACCCCCACTCATCTCTACCACCAGTTCTCAGGGCTCTCCCTCCCCTCCCCTCCCCTCCTTCTCCCCTCCTCCCTCCTTCAGGGGCCATCTTTGTTCAGTCTTACTTGTTCACTCTTTGACATGATCTCTCTTTCTCGATTTCTTTTGCAGGTTTAGTTTTGAAACCACTGTGTGTGTGTTGCGGGGGAGGGGCATGTGCATGTGAGCGTTAGTACCTACAAGGCCAGAAACGGGTGTCAAGAGCTCCTAGAGCTGGAGTACCAGGTGGGTGTGAGCCACCTGACGTGGGTGCTGGGAACTGAACTCTGATCCTATGCAGGATCAATACGTGCTCTTAACTTTCCTGCCCCTGATGTGCTCTATTGTCTTAGAAAGTTTGTGAAGAATTTTGGAACAAACAGTTGCCAAAGTGGCTTCAATTCTCGGTTCTAACTAAGGAACCAAGGTGTTATGAAATGTTGCCCTCTGCTATGATATGTCCACTGCCTTCTTGAATCCTTAGCAGCAGTGATCACTGGCAGAAGACCAACACATGACTAGGCACATGATCTTTCAGTCATGGGATAGAGGGGCTCATGAGGCAACACCCCTCTCTTGATCAATATAAGTGGCAAACAGTTGTTTGGGGGCACAGTAAGACAGGACAACTGGTTTTTGTGGCTTCCTATGCTCTTGTAGGCATTGTTTCACCAATACATAAGTGAACTCATTAGTTCACCAAGCTACAATTGGTGGGATTGTTTCTTGGGTCTGTAAGTCTGTGCACCATCTGAGGTGGATAGCATTTGTCTCCAATGGCCAATCCAGAGTCTGCCATCTCCTGACTGGCCTGAAGCACATATTCAATTCAACCATTTACACCCAAGGAAAATGCTTGCCTTATCTAGCGCTACAGATAAACTTGACCCTCAGGTACATGATGGACCAGGAGTTAGACAACTTGGACAGAGGTAAATGTTGGACCCTAGACAGTATGACAATAAAATGGATAGCAATTGCACTACAGAGCAATGAAAAACAAACTAATATCCTTTTAGCTCCAGATCTTCTTTTACTACTTCCCTCTCCATTTGAGATTTTTTCTACCAAATATTTATTACTATGCTGGATAATTCTATGTCAACCTTACACAGTCCAGAGTTATTTGGGAAGAGGGAACCTTAATTGAGGAGTCGCCCACCCCCAGCAGACTGCCTGTGGAAAAGCCTGGGGTTTTTTTTGACTGATGATTGATGTGGGAAGGTTCAGCTCTGGGTGGTGTCATCCCTGGGCTGGATCCTATAAGAAAGCACACTGAGAAAGTCAGGGGAACAAGCCAGTAAGCATCTCTCCTCCATGGCCTCTGCATCAGTTTCTGCCTCCAGGTTCCTGCCTAGAGTTCCTGTTCTGACTTCCCTGGATGATGGACTGAAAACTGTAAGCTAAACCAAACCCTTTCCTCCCTAGTTGCTTTTGGTCATGATGTTTCATGACAGCATAGAAACACTAAGACTATTGTTTTCCTATTTTATTTATTCTTGTTGTTTTTTTGTTTTGAAATAGGATCTGATACAGCTCAGGCTGACTTTGAACTCACTGTGTATGGGATGTCTGATCCTTCTACTTCTTCCTCCCAAGTTCTGGGGTCACAGGTTTGCACTACCTCACTTGACTTATTTGTTATAGGGGACATTGTCTGGTATTCACTATGTAGTCCAGTCTGGCCTAAAATTCATAGCATCTCTCTTCCCTCAGCCTGCTGATATTACAGGCATGTGCAACCACATCTGACTAGCATTTCCTCTTTTTTTTCTTTTCCTGAGGCAAGGTCTCACTGTTTTACCCTGGTTGTCCTGGAACTTGCTCTGTAGACCAGGCTGATTTCGAATTCACAGAAAGCAGCATATTTCTGCCTACTGAGTGCTGGAATTAAGGCATGCCCTACCATGTAATTTTCATGTGTCACTAAATACTATTTTCCTATTGATTTTCCCCCATTTAAACATTTAAAGTCCATATCATTAGCCCCAGGGCTACACAAAAACAGGCATATGCCTGTAGCAGAGTCTGCCATCTCCTGACTGGCCTGAAGCACACATTCAATTCAACCATTTACACCCAAGGAAAATGCTTGCCTTATCTAGCACTACAGATAAACTTGACGCTCAGGTACATGATTGACCAGGAGTTAGACAACTTGGACAGAGGTAAATGTTAGATCCTAGACAGTATGACTCTGATATATTAGAGAACTGTAACAATAAATCTTTCCGCCTAGCAGCCCAAGCCCCACCACCACGTGGGCACCCAAAATAACACACAGAGACTTATTAGGTAGGCTGCTGCTGGCCAATGACTAGGATTTCTTATCTGCTATCTCTGTCTTAAGTGTCAACTATAGTTATTAATCTATATATTTTATAAAGACTTATCTAATAGAGGACACCGGTGGCATGTGTCCTCTCTTGTCGGGCTCACGTGGTGCCTCCACATAGAAGAGAGGAGAAGGAAGACAATGATTTCCTGCTGTCCCTGCCTATATTCAGAGTCTGCCTGCTATGTCACTTCCTGCCTGGATCACAAGACTTATCTTTACTACATTTCCCAGAATCCTCCTTGATTCCTAGTCCCGCCTAACTTGCTCCCTTATTGGCCAACAGTACTTTATTTATCAACCAATAAGACAAACATATTCACAGAAGGGCCTCCCCCATCATCTCCTCTTTTCTGTCTAAATAAAAAAAAGAGTTTTAACATTAACATAGTAAAATATATAACAAAATAGTTATCAAGTAAGAACTATAGTTACAATATTTAGTCCATTAACATTTAGCAAGATTTGAAGAAAATATTCTATCATCTGTCCTATCTTTGTGAGTCTAAAGTTTTATTTGTAGCTTATCTTTTATAATAACTAAAGAAAACTATAATCATAACTGTCTGTCTTCAACTCCATCAAAGACCACAGAAGGATAATATCTCACTGCCTAGATAGTCACCCAAACAGTGACAGTAACGTTGGGGCACAGCCTACAGGCCACAGTGTGTCTGATAGACTTCTCCATGAAGCCGAACCCTTCAGGGCTGTCTTGTTTTGCAAGTTCAGCAGTCACTTTCCTGTGGGTCCTGCATGTCCAGTTTATCAAACAGTCCAGGCAAGAGCAGTTTCTTGCCCAAATGGCTAATCTTGCCATGTTGAAGGCAAACTCCATAACGAGTTTCTTCGATGCCCATACTCCTTTCTGAAGTAATTGGTGTGCCAGGAGCAGTTGTGTCTCACTGTGATGAAAAACCCTAAACCATTTAAATGCCATATATTCTGTAGGTCTTTGAAAGGTGTGAAGAATATCCATCTCAAATACATCTCTGTATATCTTGAAAACCTAACTAACCTAACTATAAACTTTGACTATTATACCTAACTATAAACAGTCTGTATTTAATTATATATTACATTTTAAAAATCAGTATAAACACAATACCAAATAAGAGGAGACATATACATATCACAAAATTGACCTTAAACTTGTATCAATAAACGAAAATCCATACCAATGCAAAGTATTCATTTCTATATCCTATTCCCCTTTTTTCCTTTAAAAAGAGATTGACTGTGATCATTACCATTTATAACCAATCCCATTTAGATGAAAACAAACATAAACAATATTTGGGAATTTGGGTGTCATTCATTCCAAACTGCTTCCTGCTGGTTGGGGGTGATGTCCATACCATGGGGATCATGATAAAACACAGAAATCCTGGCTGTAGTCATCTATGACTGCATCATCTCAGCTGTTTTTGGTGGAAAGATTTATCATTACATGGAACAGACACAGATTTCCATCAGGCCTTTCCCTAGTGCTCTCAAGGACAGGTGGGGGAGGGTAGTGTGAAACATCAGGCAGCCCCATCTTTCGGTCTCTGTTGTGTGTAAGAAGGAAGAGATAGGCAACTTTACAGGGCCATTGTCCCATATCCTTCCTGTTTCACTGAGTCTTTGGAAGCATGTGCCCCTAATTCCAGGAAAGAGTTTGGAACCTCCTTTACAAACCCAGGAGGAGCAGATCTTTTCCTGGGTCAAAGAGCCCTGCTTTACCCATGGAACTTTACCCATGCCCTGTCTCTTGAGTATCTAAACACTTTCCCTCATTTGCAGGATTGGTCCTGCAATCGTCCTCAGACGATGGAGAGGGTAACATTTCTCCATCAGCTTTTCTTTATCTATTCTGTGTCCCCTTCTCAACCATTCTGCTGCCCAGAAACCACCACTGACCACAGGTTTTGAAGCTAAGCATACAGAAGGCTTTGATTCTAGTGAGTGATTCTACATATACCCAGCAGGAAGCCTTCTGGGAAGAAAAAAAAAAAAACCAAAAAAACACAAGAAACAAAAAAACAGGAAGATGGACCAAATAAAGAATGCCAGATGTACCACCTGGATGGTTTCCTCTGAGAGTCCATAGGAAGCTGGCATTGGACTCTTTGTCCCCCACTGTCCTGGCCACACAGTGCAGGACGATGTAAGCGTGGAGAAGCAGAGTGGTTTCCCTACACAGATTCTTGTACAGCAGCAACTGCACAGGATGCATGGAGCATGAGCTTGCTCCCCCACAACCAATAGATTTCTTAGGATTTCTATCTTCAGGCTTTCAGAACACAGAGGTCAACTCAGTGTCTGACTCAGCGGCCATCCAGACATGCACAGCCCTCACAACCCACAGCTAAACTAAGCTGTAGCCCTGATGCTGTTCATCAATAAAAAGCAAGAAAATTAACAGGAAGTCTTGCACTGCTAAATTTATATTCTAAATCCAAGAATCACTGGCAGAAAAAAGCAAACACAAAGTAGAAAAATACATTCATTCAATATAATCCCACAATTCCCTTCTCTATGGAGGCTTCCTGCTCTCTGGCATAGCCCTGTGGTGCCCTTTTTTGGCTGAATACTCTCACTGGAGATGAACTGGAAGAATAGTTGGAGTTAAATTGGGGTGGGGATAAGGGAGGTGACTCATGTTTGTAATCCCAGCATGGGAAGACTGGTCCAAGTTCAAGGCTGACCTGGTAAACATAGCAGAGTCCAGATCAACAAGTGCTACAAATTAAAACTTTGTTTCAAAACAAAACAAGAGAATAATCAGAGTCGGGCTGGAGAAATAGTTGCACCCCTCAGAAGGCTAAGACAGGAAGATGGCAAGTTCAAGGTCTGCTTTGGCTAGTTAGTGAGTTTCAGGATTTCCTGAGGTTGGTAGCAAGATACTAGGGTTCTGCCCTTTGCTCTATTTAAAAACAACACACACACACACACACACACACACACACACACACACACACACACACACACACACACACACGAAGGGGTGCTCGGGCCTGATTCATTTTCTAATAAAAACATTTTCTGGAAACGTGAATATTAATCCAAACAATCCAAATCCATCAGGATCACAGTTAATCAGCCAAATAAAACCTTTATAATCGGAGTACTTGAGGGGATGGTTCCTATAAGATCAAGGTGAATCTACTTCAAAGCCAATTCCCCGCAGCTACTTCTAAAAGCTTCGGGTGAACCTGTGCAAGCTGTCCCTTTGAAAGGTAGAGCTGAAAGGTGAAATAAACTCTTCTTAAGTACAGAAGTTTTACTACCTGCAACACAAACTCGATATTAAAAGGAGCTAATGTTACAGACTGTAAATTGTCTTTAAAAACCACAGGAATACTGAGGCATATTCCACACAAGCTTTGTGAGGACCCTGTGGAAGCCAAAATGCTGGATCTGTCTGTAGCCTATTTAAGGCTCCTTGTCTAATTTTGCTAATTGTGGCCTCCCTGGGTGGGGCCTCAGCAAGCACCTGCTCAGCAAGCAGACTCTCCTTGGCAGGAATAGCAGCTCCCGCCCTTACCGGAGGAGATGTCTCATGGCAGCATCGAACTGCAGCCACGTCACCTCCCTTCGGAGGAGGAGGGCCTGGGCCACCTGGCTTGGGTCCTGGGGGCTCAGGAGACTATCAATCATTTTCTGCAGTTCTTGAAGCTCAGACCCTGGAAAATGAGAAACACTGGAGTCAGTGAAAGATAGACCACCACAGCCATCCCTTCAGGCCTGCCTTTCACCTCCAGAGGCAGCTTGTCATCCAAATGGACTTCCTTTGTTTGTGGATGTGCTAATTATATGTTTTGCAAGACCAGCAGCTCTAGAAACCGAAGTCTAATTTAGTTTCTTTCCTTCCTCTCTCTGGAAGATAGACGTCCCCACCGCTGTGCTTTAGCACAGAAAGAACAAACTGTTGAAAGTTTTAAATCTGCCAGACCATGGTCTCCAAACAGAATGAAAAAGAAATGACACGGGGTGGGCAAGTCCTCAGGATACCCACTAGGAACTTGAAGTTACCATCAGCTATACACCACACTCATTTTCATTGTCATGTCATAGGAATGGGCCTTCCTTTGTCACCAGTGTGTGGGCTGACTCAAGAATCATAAAGACAGTAAGATACGGCACAAATTCAGACATATGCACACACATACATGTGCATACACATCCATGCATAAACTTGTAGGAGATTCATTTTAGGAACTTGGCTTGTTTTGTAAGACCCCCAGAAGCTCAGGCCTCTGGGATCTCAGCCCAGGACCTCGGCCACCCCAATCACCATGCGGAGTTGAAAGCTTGATGCAAACAGCATGAGGCTTTATTATAGTTGTTTAGCGAGCTACCCCCATGTTAGCTCGGGTCTTTCATCCACCCACCATGGCGGATGGCTAGGAAAGACAGCTGGAACCATCTTCATAGAGATCTTATAGGGCAGTGTAAGGGGGAATGTCTAGGGGTACGCACAGGCGCAGGATTGGTGTGCCTCCAGGCTTGGAGGGCTTGCCCTGTGTTGATTGGTCAACTGGTTGTTATGGCCCATAGGCCCTCCCAGGGTGGTTGCTGTGCTCTGCACATCATTGCTGTGCACTTGTCCATAAAGCACACCCAGAGCCATAAAGCATAGCACTACCAGTTAACTTCTGATTGGTTCCTTGCCATGAGGCAAGCATCTGACTTCCTAGAGACTAAGACAAAGTCAGACAAATAGGCGTTCGGCTGTTATGGCTGCCAAAATGGGGAGCTGGTCCCTTCAGTTTCTTGGAACCTGTACTACGAGAGAAGAATCCATAGAATGAGTGCTCTCAGCCTTGAGATGACACTGGAAGCTTTTTGGACCGCTCAGGTTGGGCTGAGGAAACAGGCCTGCACCTGGACTCCTGCTGTTCACCCAAGGTGGGAATTAGTCAGATAAAATAGGAGAGCTGGGCGAAACCAACAAACACATAGGGAGCACGGCAGGCCTATGTGTTCAGAGCTATCTGAATATCACTCTCTCCAAAAAGGGCTGTCAGCTTCCTCCGATGGGGACAGCTTTCTGCCCTGTCGCAGGAGGGGCTGCGAAGAGCATGCACACTGTGTCTGTGTCTGTATTCATGTCTGTCTGTCGTGTGTGCCCTACCCGCAGCACAGGACAGGCAGGGTGTTGATGAGGTTGCTCTCTCTTGGTACTTCTCCAAGCAAGGCAGCCTTCTTCCTACCTGGTGAGTGCTGGGTCTCCACAGCACTTCCACACTAGGAAAGCAGAAGACTATGAGACTGAGCAGGGTGGTTCCAGGTTGGAGAATGGCTGCCGATAGTTACAACACTTTCATGTGACTTTAGGAAAGATGAGAGATCCAGATTCGGTATTCATTTCTTGTTTTACACATGACAGACAGACAGTTGGGGGTTTCCCAGTCAATAATTGGGTCCAATCATCACAGTATTTTTAATGAGTCCTCTAAATATGATGGTTCTCTTGAGCTACAAAAAAGTTCCCACTGAAAGGGAAGTGGCTGTAACACGAACTGCAGAACTTTTGGGGTGCATGACAGGAAAAGAGGTGACCGCTGAATGTCGTTTGTTCATGGCATGTGGTTTTGGCCTACAAGCAATATGTCTTCAGGCAAGTGGCAACCAAGCAAAAATATTTGCAGTCCTCCTATACCATATGTAAAATGTAAACATACAAAGTTTGTGGGCACAGACTACCAGGGGGTGATGGCAAATAGAGACACTAAGGTGATTGGGCCATAGTGATTTCCCTCATTTCAGCATGTCCATTGTAGTGCTGTTTGTACTCTTTTGCTTGTGATCAAAACACTTGTGTGTTGCTGAAAATCAACTAACAATGGTCCCAGGCCTGAATTCAAACCTGCAGCACTGAAACTGCTGGAGGAATGGCAGAGGCCACTGGACAATAAGTACAGTCAAGGGTGAACAGGATGTCAATAGCACAGAAAATAACCACAAGAGTTGACAAATTGGATTATATGGTATTCAGAAACTTCCCAGTCAAAGGAGCCATCCGCAAAGCAAACAGCCTTCAGAAGGTATAATGTCTTTACCAGCAGCACTTCAGATGGGGGTGGGCATAATGTCTGGAATATATAAACTGCAGAATTAAACACTCAGAAAATAGCTCAGTGACTGGACTGGACAAGGTTCTCAAAAGAGTTAACACAAATGGCCAATAAACATTTTTAAAAATGGTATTCAACATCCTTAGCTACCAAGGAAATGCAAGTCAAACTATATCAAGAATCCACCTCACCTTAGTCAGAATTGCCAACGTTGAGAAAACAAATGACAACAAATTCTGGTGTCTGGGGAAGAAGAAACCCTATTCACTGCTGGTGGATGGGAAAAGTCACTGTATGCTCCAGGATGAGGTTTCTCAAAACCCTAAAAATAGAACTACCCTGTGACCCATTTGTATGGCTCCTGAAGATGCAGAAAAGAACTCAGAAACCATGCCGATTGATGCCCTGCTCATGATAGCAGGGATGAGCAATCAACTGCCTCCCAGTAGATGAGCAGCTAGTGAAAACGTGGTACTTATACACAATTTTATTCAGCTGTGGAGAAATATGAAACTGGCAAAAACATGAATCTAGAAATTACTATGTTAGCTGAGGTAACCCAGACTCAGAAAGACAAATATCACATGGTCTCTCTCATATGTGAAGCCCATGTATGTGTGTGTGTGTGTGTGTGTGTGTGTGTGTGTGTGTGTGTGTGTGTATATATATATATATATATATATATATGTGTGTGTGTATGTATATGTGTATATATATGTATAGGTGTACGTGTATGTATGTGTATGTATATGTGTATGTGTATATATATGTGTATGTGTATATGTGTATGTATATGTGCATATATATGTATATGTGTACATGTATGCATGTGTGTGTATATGTGTATGTGTGTATATATGTGTATGTGTGTGTATATGTGTATGTGTGTATATATATATATGGTGTGTGTGTACATATGTGAGTAAAGGCATAGGTCATCAAAATGGAAAGGGGATCATGAGAAAAGCACAAAGAGGCCTTAAGGAAAGGAGGACTAGAATACATGTGACATCTAAGTGGAAAGGGAACTGCTGCGGATAATGAAACCTATTACTTTTTAGGACACAATTAAAATGTCACAAATTAGAACACAAATAAAGCCGGGTGTGTTGGCAAACATGCACCACCACAACCTTGATCCTAGCACTTGGGAGGCAGATGCAGGTGGGTCTGTGTGAGCGCAGTTATGTGTTGAAACCTGGCTTATTATAGTGCGGTTGGCTGGTGGGCATTACCTCTCCCTTGCCTTGTACCAACTTCCTTCTGCTTCCTTCTTCAGTAGAGACTGCCTGACTGGGAAGAGGAAGTGGTGGATGTGGGCAGGGAAAGCAGCCTGGGGTGGGTAGAGTGGAAGGCGGCCAGAGGACCCAGGAAACATCGGAAAAGAAAGGAAGTCTGTCTCTCCTCCAGAGACTGGTTCTGTGTGGCGAGTGCTCCCCCACCACACACACACACACTCACAGTGGAGGGGAGGACAGAGAGGGAGAGTATATTAATTGTGTTTGGGCTCTAACTGGCCCTTTGATCTTTAGCAAAGAAAATTCAGGGCAAACTCCCCCACAGTGCTTCACTCTGACTCCAAGACAGGGGAGAATTTGGTGGGCTCCACAGAGGCCCTCAGGTTGCTGGGATGTCTTCATTTGGTCATGGGGGAGGACCATAAGTTCATATCCAGAGTACCCTTGAAAAAATATTTTAAAGTGTGGACGTCCACGAAAGTCATTTTATCTACCTGCAGTACCTGTCAGCCTCAAATTCCCTCCCACTGTGCTTCTTCTGCCTCCTGCGAGATCTGGGCCAGGAGCTATGCAGCCTCGGAGCCTCTTAGGAAGATGACTATCTTATGGAATTTTCCCCCTGTCACTTAATTTGCTCTTCATCTATTTTCAGCAAATCTGAGCATGCAAAACTTTACACACAGTCCCCTGAGCACATTTTTTCCCCTTTACTTGCTGCAAGGGAAGTGTGTAATCTCTAATTGACACTTCAGAAAACCTGAGCTCCTGCACAGCTTGTGAGCTCCAGGTTTGTGGTCCACCAGCAGCAAGGACACAACTTCCTTCGTTCTGAACTCTAGGTCCTCAGTGGCCTCCCCATCTCCACAGATTGCCAGCAGTACAATGATGGGCTGGTGACCTTGGCCAGTGTCTTTTTCTCGTCTGGCTAGGTGGACTCCCCACCTACCTTTTCTCCTCTGATTTGGTTAGGGCAAATGACACTCTTACCCCCAGATACGGAAGCTGAAATGTGGCTTTATTACAATATGGTTGTTCCGGTGAGAAGTACCTCTCCCTTGCCTCCTACCAACTTCCTTCTTCATCAGGGACTGTAGGCTTGGGAAGAGGAAGTGGCCAATGTGGGTAGGGAAAGCAGCCTGGGGATGGGGGTGGAGTGGAAGGCGGCCAGAGGGCCCAGAAAACATCAGGAAATGTGGCTCTGGCCATCTCAGACTCTAGGAACAGGATGGACATTTTTCTGGCCCACCCCCCTTTCTCCTGACCCTCTGAAACCCAGCACCCACAATCCTCCCACCCCAAGAATATGCAGCTTAGCATGTTCTGAATAAACCCCAACAGCCACTCTGTTAGTAAGGGCACTTGGGTATGGCTTCAGTCCTGTGTTGCGTGTCTTCGAGACTTACTTGAGATCATTAGCCTGAGAAAGTTCCAAGCTTCTTGCGGAGGCAGCATCAACACCAGCCTTCTCCCCTTCCCTCCACCTCAGCCACACAGTCAGCATCGTCCACACCACCACCACCACCACCACCAGATGCCCTTCGCTGTGCCCTGGTATGAATATTCAGATTTCCTCTGTGGCCATTAGCATGATGCAAATCTACTAGCCACCAGCTCCAGGGGCCCTTTCAAACATATTCCCTTTGAGTCACAGCTGGAAGGGGACAGACTCAGATCATCTCACATTTGGTTTTAGAACTAGTTGATATAAACAGGCCAATCACCTCATTTCTTAGGTTCATCTCACTTTTTAAAATTCCTGGTGACTCTGTTGCAGTACTTGATTTTAATTGGTCACCATCAACAGAGCTAGTAACTTAGTTTGTATGAGGCAAATTACTAAAATAAAATCAGTCTCTGCTTCCAATAAGTCCTATTAGTAAGATTCTGTTGTTGAGGCTGGGGAGGTGGCTCGGCAGTTAGGAATGTTTACTGCTCTTCTAGAGTAACTGAGTTCAGTTCCTAGCACCCATGTTGGAGTGCTCATTAAGAGATATCAAACACCCTCTTCTGACCTCCAAGGGCACCACATGCATGTGTCACACACCCCCAACACACACACACACACACACACACACACACACACACACACACGTTAGCATGTCCACCTGGGTGCAAGTGTACAATGTAAACCTGGGCCGGAGATCAATCTTGGGTGTTTTTCCTCTGGTGCCATTTATCTTATTTTCCAGACAGGGTTTCTCATTGCCTTACAGCTCTCTGAGTAGGCTGGAAAGGATGGCCGAGGGGCACCAGAGACCCATCTTTGCCTCCCCTGCACTGGGAGCACAAGCTTTTACTAACGTGGTCTCAAGTCTTCATGCTTACACGGCAAGCACTTTGGCCTCTATTGCATAGTATCTTATCGGTGCCAGACACATGAAGATACCATCTTATAACCTAATGCCCTTCACTGCTTAGAATAGATATGAAAACCTCCTTCAGTCTCAGCACAGTCAAGTGGTTCTGAGCTATAAGGACCATCAGTGTCTTCACAGTGAATGCTTAGATAGGACCTTGTCATGTCATGAGGAAGAGGAAGAAAAAGGGAATGAAAGCTAACCTTTAGAGTGGCCTTAAGTATTCTTACATGGATTTCAGTCCAGAGAATATCTCTGTGAGGTGTTACCCCATTTTATAGATGGGAGAAGTAAAGTGGCACATTCGGTGGCAGAGACAGGGTCAGAGCTGGGTCTCTGGACTCCTGCCTGACTCAGTATGTTTTCTGATGAGCGTACAAACGTGGAACCAGTCGGCATAATATGCACTTAGAGACAGTATGTAGCAGGACTTTTCCCGAGTCCTTCCTGTCACTGTCATGAGGAGATACAGTCCTGGGTTTCCAATATTAACCACTTCTTACAATTGCGACCAAACAGGTCTGGTGATTCCAATAGTGACTGCTAGTTACTTACCAATGCCCTCGGGTCCTCCCCAGTCATTCCTCAAAGGGCCAGGACTTAGAGGAGAGTCGAAGCATGCTGGGAAATTGCCAAGCTTGGCAAAACTGAAAAGGTAGGCCACAATGTCGTGGAGAGGAGCTACAAGCTGGAGAGTCAGTTTCAGGGCTCTAAAAGCTGCCTGTGGGTAGAAGCAACACAAAAAAATGGTTTCAGGAACTTCCTAAGAGGTCTATGCAACATTGGAGAGAGACTAGGGAAGCTATGTCTATGCAAGTATACAGCGGTCCCTCAGTATCCACAGGGCTTGGCCTTAGGATGCTGCAGTGCCATCTCGTGCATGCAAGTGCTCATCCCTTATGCAACATGGGACAGTATGTCTGCTTTATCCATGTAGAGCCTCCTGTGAACTTTTAATCATCATAAGTTACTTATAATATCTACATATGAATAGTATTTTCCCCAACTGTTTTTGACCAGTGGTTGATGGATGCAGAAACTGAGGTCCTAAGAGCATAAATCATGCTAAAACTAACATTTTCACAGTGTGCCCAGGATAATAAGTGAGAAAAAGAAAACAACAAGCCTATTCATGAATAGCCCTGCTCTTAGACAAAGGCACCACTGTGGGGGTTAAAGCACCATGTTTCTGTTTGTGTAAAGACACCACAGCTGAACATAGCAGTGTGCTTATTTGACTATCAATGAATCACAAGGGTCACAGCACGGGATCTCATCCAGGCAGTGTTGTTCAGAGCATCTATAACTGAGGCTTGGGTGTCTATAGTCATAAAGAAAATCCAGAATATTTCCCGAATGCCAGATTCACCAGGACCCCTCAGCACTTGTTTCCACGCCAATTTTCTAATGGTTCTCAATGTTATTCTCCATCATCAAGTCGGAGAGCAAACCCAAAAGCTGCAGCCTGTCAGGTGTGGTGGCATGTACCTCTAATCCAATCCGTGGAAGGGATCTCAGCATTAGTGACACAGGTTCCAGGCCAGCCTAGGCTAGATAGTGAGTTCCAGCCCAGTCAGGGCTTCCTAGCCTGATTACCAAAGACAATCAAAACAAAACAAAACCCAGCAGGCAGCTGGACACAGTGTTGCACACTTATCACCCCCATCACTCCCGGGAAGCCAAAGCAGGGGAACCTCATGTTTGTGATCAATCTGGGCTACATTCTGAGACTGTTTTAAAAACAAACCATCTTCTGTTAGCTTCGGGATAATGAGAGTGGAGTTTGGTTGAAGGGCTAGGTGGAAACTGAGGGTGAATGAGGAATACTAGAAGCCCAGACTAGTGTTCATCAATGGCCTAGAGAAAACAGAATTCATGAAATAATGAGTCTCAAGGGAAAGAGACAATGAAACCAGCAGGCAAAGGTATCAGGAGCTGTGAAAAATCTCGGTGATCAGGTATCAGGGAAGACTCACTCCAGGTGACTAACCCTGGGACCTGAAAGGTGACCAGTTTCCACTAGGACATGTAGCAGCATCTTGCCTGTGCACCTGTAACAGTGGCCACACCCCTCTGGGCGTGGCTTCAAGTGCTGACAGAAGCGGAAAGAGGAAAGGCTGAGGTGTAGTCTCTCTTTCATGCTCACTTTCTCTTTGGTCGAGGATGGGCTTGGAAGGGCAGAGACAGGCTGCAGTGGTTCTTTATTGTTCTGTGTAAGCTGTTCCCCAATAAAACACCCATTTACCATTTATCTTGGGTCTAGTGAAATCTTTATACCCACAGGCCACCAACCTCCTCTGGCAGAGTTTTGAACATACACAGCACTTCGGAAGGATGGGGGATAAACCATAAGTTGAGGAAGACTCTTCCATCAGCCGACAGCAGACTCCGAGGCCGACGCTGAAAACTCCTGCAGTGTGGGAAAAGGGGGCCCATAGCACAGACAAGATCCCACTAGGCCAGAGGCATGCCCTGTGTGAAGGGCCACTGCAGGCCCAGTGCCCAGGCCCAGGGAGCAGCCTGCCACTCCCAGGTAGCCAGAATGACTCATAAATATTTCATAAATAATTCATCAGGAGAAAGAGCAGAGGGGACTGATTTTAGCCTGAGTTGTGTGGGAGGGAGGAAGTCGTGGGTATGGAGGAAAGGAACCTGTGCTAAGAAAGGAAAGAGATGAGATGGCCGGCCTCATATTGGGTGCTACATATTTTATGTCACTTAATGTCTTGATCTATTTTTGTCCGAGTTTCACAGCTGAGGGAATTGAGGTGTTGAGAGTGATGTAGAGGCTGCCAGGCCGCCAGCTCCTGAGGCACATCTGCCTAGCTCTAGGGTCCTCTTAGACTCCTTAGCCCCGGCGGCTTCCTTCCCTGCCCTCCATGTTTCGCTTCAGCTGATGTAGATTAATAGTGGGAAGAACCTGGGGACACTACTGGGCCTGGGCTGGGAGAGAGAACAGTAGATAGTGGATGGGCAGGGAAAGGGGAAAGAAAGGTATAACCCTTTAAAACCTCTCTCTCTCTCTCACTCTCTCTCTCTCTCTCTCTCTCTCTCTCTCTCTCACACACACACACACACACACACACACACAGAGAGAGAGAGAGAGAGAGAGAGAGAGAGAGAGAGAGAGAGAGAGAGATGTGGCCTGTCACTTCAGGCTGTGGGATCTGGCCTTCTGGAGTGAATGCTGTGTTTTTGAGAGAAAGGCACAACCACCATTATTCACCTGAGCTCCGGGTGACATCCTAGGTCCCTCTTTCTTCCTTGGTTCCAATTTAAATCTAGTGCCTTGCCTCACTGACTTCACCTCCTAAATAGTTTAAGGAGCCTCCTAAGTGGTGACACTGACAGCCATGTTGATCCTTCTTGTGGACTGAAAGATGGATATGAGTTTCCTGCAGGAGTGACATCTATCAGCCTGCCCTTCAAAGCACTGGAGTGACACCCTGCTCTTCAGACTCCAGCCTCCCTGGAACCACGAAGAGAACAGAAGCCCCAAAGGACCTTGTGGGAAGAGGGCTCCCTTTTTAGCTCCTCTCTGGCAAAGACTTGGCTTTGGGTGGGGGTGGGGGGCTCTGCTAAACTATGATACATTAGAACCTTTAGATGATTAAGTTGTATCTTGGAATTTTAAACTAACACTACTCATGGGCTCTTGACCATGGCAGACATCGCCAATCAATTATCATTCTGCCATGGACAAAACATCTCAGAATCCTCAGCAGGGACACTAAAGAGTTTTTGGAACTGACATTGAAAATAAAGGCTACATCTTATCTTCAGTGTAGCACAGTCTCTTGTCTTATGACTGAAACAACGGTCCTCTTCCTTCTACCCCTCACTCCTCAACCCCCCCTTTTCTCTAGTTATCTTCGCCTGAGCTGCTTCCTATCTAGCATTTCCCAAGGAGTCACAGGAATGGCCTCTTTTCTCCAGACAGCTCTTCGTCAGCAACTCCGCTTCTTGTGGCCTTGCTCTAGATATCTAAGCACTGAGAATGGCAGCATGCTTGACCTCAGAGAACCGCTTCAGTGTCCTCATCCTGAGAAGTGACTGAAGTCCAGAGATTGAAGATAAGTGATTTTCCCAAGACCTTCAGGCACCATGTGACTGAGCTGTCAATGTCAGATAGGCGAATTCTCAGACTAAGGATCTTCACTGCACCTGTGTTTGGCTGCATGCCATGTCTTGGGTTGAGTTTAAGTATGTTCCCCTTGAAACAGAGTTCATAGTGGACTCCTTCATTATGACTGGTCTGGGGGTGTAACAGAGGGTGGTGGGTAAATCCTATAGGCCTGGCTATAGGTCAGCTGGTGGTGTGTCCTTGGAATGGATTGTTGGGTTCCAGTGTCTCTCTGTCTTCCTGACTTTTAAAATCATTTTATTTTTTAGAGGTGGGCTTATATTTAGATAACATCTTATAGCCCAGGCTGGTGTTAAATTTTCTGGGTAGCCACGGATGACCTTGAACTCCTGATCCTTCTGCCTCCACCTCCCAAGTATGTCACCAAGCCTAGCTATGCTTTCCTGATACTTGACGTGGTTTCTCCTCCTACACTCACTTCCGTGATGATGGACTCTCTAAGGGAGCATCCTTTCCAGAGTGAGCTGATACTGCAGCTCTGCCCAGGGATTTCCAAACTGTGCTAAAATCGGCCTTATTCTTATAATATAAAGTTAACCTGTTCCTGATGCCACTGGCCTGCGTCTACAGTTCACAGAACCAAGAGTCCTTGAAGTCTGAAGGACTCTTATGAAGCACTTGCCCCAGACTTCACCTGAGGCAGAAGTTCTGCTGCATTTGTACCAATTAGACGATTAAAAGAGAAGCATTACGTGCGGTTAAGAGAGCTTGTGGCCCTTTCAGAGGGTCTGGCTTTGGTATCCAGCACCCACATGGCAGCTCACAACCAGCTGGAAGTCCTGTTCCAGGGGAATCCTATACCCGCTTCTGATCTCCGTGGGTGCCTGCACTCATGAGGTGTGCTTACACCTGTGCAGGCACACACACAGATACATACAAGTAAACATCTCAAGGGCAAGACGTTCAGAGGAGAGGGCATAGGAAGCAGAGGCGAGGGCTGTGGAGAGCAGTGAAGCTGCATCAGTCACAGCTCTGGGTGGTCCTCACTTTCTGACCCAAGACTGTCCTAAAGTCATTGCGCTCAACTAAGCAGTTTCCTCAGGAGGCCAGGCTCTCCACTTAGAAGCCATTTTCCTACTCTTTAGGAGATGCCATCATCCAGGAGACATCTGTGCTGGTTCAAAACCAGCACTGTAACTAAGACAACACCAGAAAGAAATAGATCAAGGCCACAAGCCACACAGGCCCCCGCCTCCACACCCTCACCTCCTCATTGGTTACTGCAAATAAACACACTAGAACAAAAAACAGACTGCATTATACATTTCACCCTAAACAAAAATGTAGTGGATTCAAGTGTGGGGGGCATGGGAGGGAGAACTGTGGTTAGAATGTAAAATGAAAGTTAAAAAAAAATTTAAAAATGGCAATAAAAGAAAAAATGTAGTGAATTCATGAATAGATTTCTGGAAAGAACTTTGAAAGTTCGATGCCAAGCGTAGGTTGGTCAGCCTGCAGAGGGGGTAGAAAACCCATGAACAGAGGTCTGAGAGGATTGGCCTTCGATGGTTCTCAGGAGAGATATATGCTGCAGACCAGAAAAGCCTTCCATGGGAGTCTCCAGAGGTGTCGCCAAGCCCTCTACTCTGAAAGGCACCCTTACAAGTCCTGAGGTCTCAGGGAAAGCTCTGGGCGGCTTGAAAACTAAACACTGATTTTTAACCATGCCCAGAGCACCTTGTAAACACCAAAGCAAGAAGGGTCCCTGTTAGCCAGACAAGGGATGAGGGGCTTAACTCCTTTCCCTCTCTGGCCTTCACTGACTACCCCACTTTCTTGATAAACTCCACTTCCCTGTTACTTGTTTTTTTAAGTTCCTCTCTGAAGCCCTGGGGTGGAGTTAAACATCCCCTCTTTTCTCCCTTCAGAAACTTTGAGAGACCCCTGTAACATGCTATCTCTGGAGTTAGTTGATTGTCGAGCTTTCCTCTGGAGGCCATGGGTTGTTCACCTTTCTACCTCTAGCGTGGTGCAAAAGGCCTGGGACTAAGCAAGGATGAACCAACGATGGTTGCTCTACATACATGTGTAGGGAGGGACATGACAACCAGCCCCGACCTGATGACACTGTGCTATTGCCTGCCCAGAAGTGAACTGCTCTATCCTAGTCATTAGTGTTCAGACCTGAGTAATAATTTACACAGGTCCCCTGCAATGGCTAAAGACACTTAATATGGAGTCGGGGCCATTGACCTTTTGCTCTGGAATTCTGGGAAGATCTTGATGGCCTGCAGGTGAGATAGGATAGGATAATGGCTCTGAGGCGTTGACAGCTGCCATTGCTTCTATAAATCTGTGTACTGATGTGAGAGAGGAATGAAATGGCATATATATATACACCTGAAGGAAATAAAACCAAGGTCCTGCCCAGCTGTGGATTCATGGATAGTTGTAATATACAGCTTTCTGATGTCTGCCTTAAAAACCCCACCTCAACCCCCTTCCACACAGCATGCTGTTTGGCTCTAAGGCTGCCACCCTTCTGATAGCAGTAAGAATAAATTCCTTAATCTAAATTTGAGTCTAAGTCTTTGGTCTTTCCCAGTGAATTTGAACACCACAACACATGCATGAATGAATGACGGATGCATGGTCTGAAGCATGCCATCTTCTGACACCTGTCATCTGTCTCTTCTGTGATCATATTTTAAGTGTTACTCAAACTCTATACTATATAGGAAATGACTAAGGGGTGAGGCAAGCTCTTTGGGCACTGCATGACCTATGTAACACATGTTCCCTCTTCTCCATGGTCAAGGCAATGCGGTTAGTGACTGCACAGGCACACAACTTCCTCCATCTCGGAGGGTGACCCTAGGTAGACCCTAGGCAAGGGGTTAAGAACACTTGGTAATCTATACAGCATGGTGAAGAAGCTCTGTCTTTTCAGTCTCTCTCTGGATAGCCTACCAGAGTAATAAACGGCCGATTACTCACAGTGCGCTAATTACTATTTTCTTCTAAATATTTCTTCTCCTCTGAGTAGACTATTGGAAGCCAGAGCAGCTAAAAGCCAAGTTCCCCCATTTGCTTACTTATTTTAGACATTAGCTTGTAGAAAGGGCTGTGACTGGTGAGACTCTCTGGCCTTACCAAGAGAAGACAAAACCCTATTGATTGCAAACCGCAGTCACATATGCGGCAAACAAAGGACTCCCTCAGAGACAGAGCTGCTCTCATTCTTGGAGCACTGATGTTTTCTTCTGACCTTCCAAGGCAGAAAGTCAAAGTCAAGGGCAATAAAGACAGAAGGTCAGCTTTCTGCTACTGTAACAAGTACCTAAAACAACCTATTTATAAAGAGAAAATGTTTATTGCGCTGCATGGCCCTGATGTTTTAGATGAGGTAGTGTGTCGTAGTGGTGATAACACCCAGGGTAACAATACTGCTCACTTTGTGGCTGAAGAAAAGTAAAGGCCGGGAAGGAGAGGAGAAAGGGATGGGGATGAAGGGAAACCAGAACCTCCCAAATCCCCTTCCAGGACCTAAAAGTCTCCCACCAGATTCTCACCTCTGAGAAACAGCACTGCTTCTAATAGTGCATCCCTGTCTAGAAACTCTTTCTCCCTGGACCTTGGGGGACAATGGAGCACCAAGAGTTCTGCACTTAACATGTCTCCTAGGAGAGGGAGGGCCAAGGTGGTAGAATAACAAGCTTTAACAGCCTTCCTTACCTGGGGTCAGCCTTGAATTCCCCACTGGAGTCCTTCAAGCCCTTCTTTTCACTTGGTTGTCCCACCATGAAGAAGGTATCCCTGATGGTAGGAAAGTCGTCCAGCAGAACTCTCAGGCTATTGCAGTATGCCATGATCTGACCCCGAAGGGCATAGTGAGACATGTGGTCATTCAACCTGGAGGCCAGAGGAAGACATGGTGCCCTGAAGAATCTAAGATCTTCTACCTCCCAGGGGACTTTTCAAAGAGACTACAACATTCTCCGCTGAGAAGACATTGCCATCTGGGTAAGACTGGCATTGTCTGAAGGCAGAAGCATGGACCTCTTCCAAGTGCTCCCTGTCCTTACTTCTAATTCCTCTCCTTTAGTGTGAGGTGTGAGTCTTACTTGGTTCTATCCATTCACTACAGCTGTGGTTCATTTACGACTCATGGTCTGGGTTTCCAGGTAACACTGCTGCTGGCAAGGGTATCCGGTCAGAGAAACCAGAGTGCATTACTCTACTTACTTTTGGCAATATTCAACTATTAGTTCCCTCTTGATTTTTTCAATGTCGTCCTGTTGATAAAAGAGAATATATATATATATATATATATATATATA